ATGCAATTTAACAAATTAATATATCAGTTTAATATCTTATATATTTCGGAATATAGAATTGACATATCTTTGAATTATTCTCTTGCAGTCCTGTGTAGGTCTGAACTCATCTGGCAGCTGCTGCTGCTGCAGTTACCCTACCACCTGTTGTAATCACCTCCCCTCAGACATCCCCTTGGCCTGTTTTATGTGACCGCACAATTAATGCACGTAGCATTTGCCAAGTCGACTAATTTTGCAAGTGCCATGGCCCGTTCATAATTACCATGATTTGCCATTTTGCCACAACTCTTAACCCTTTTGACTAACCGAGCCTCCTACTCCCGACCCCTGTTGATTGATCCGCCCCCACTCGCAAGCCAAATTGATTGACTAAATCTAGCTGGCAGGAGGGGGGGGGAATCAAGAACCCAGTGACTGACTGAATGACTGACAAACTGACAGAGTGAGGGACTCAGAAGCTCAGTCCAGATGTGCTCACGAACTGGCTCGCGCCTTTTTTTTCGTTTGATTTTAACAATTATCATCTTGAACTTGTCTCTAATGTTTATTTATATAAGCCAAATGATCCGTCTCCGGCAAGTCAGCTGGAAGGGGCAGGGGTTCGCATTCATTAGATAACATAAACCGATCCGAAACGAACCGGAGATTGTCCCATTAATGAATGCAAAATGGCAAAAATAGTTGAGAAAATCGAATAGCGTTGGCGTGGGAATCTCAATATATGCTGTACTATACATAAATCTTTGTTTGTATTCCTTCAAAGTGAAGTGACCCTGTGACCGACTAATGGATCAATCGCTCGGCTGCACAATTGAAGTCTAATTGAAACTAGGAAGTTGCTCAGAGCTCTACGATCTAGAAGTTGGAAAAAGGGGAAGTGGATTACATTCGAGGGCAGTTGGCGCGAAGATTTCGTAATAAATCAAAGACAAAGACTAATTTCCGACTTTAGTTCCGCGATGCGTGTCCAGCCCTCTGGTTTTCAGACCAACACCAAGTCAGACACCACCTCCACCTACGAAGGTCACGGAGCGTGGCAATATCAAGTATACGCAGATGGGTAATGCCCAATAAATGACTTGTTATACTTGTTGGGTGCTCCCCTAATGGTCTATAAAGAATTGAAATTGGCCATTAGCCGGACAAAGAGCAGGAAGCCAACGAAATGCAAAATTAATAATAAACAACATCGAAATAAGCTTAAATAGCTCGAAATATGTTTACCATTTAACGCTTTAAAATGTAACAAGTTTTCGAAATAATTAAATATAAAAATTTTGTTATTTAATTAGCCATTAATTGTGGCGTGTGTTGGGCCAGGTGCTGGAGTATGTCATAAGTTTCTTCAAAAGGAAATCCATATAACTAGTTATAATTAAAATATTTTCATAATTAAACTAATCTTTGTTGCATTCATGTTCCCCGGTGCTTGTTCTTTTAGAAAGTTATCTAATAAACCATATGATATAATAGCTTTTAAATAAATTATTAAGCAAGCTTACTACTGACCAGCTTTAGTTTTTTGAATTAATTGGTTTAGGGCTAGTTTATATGCAAGCCATAATCGTATCAGCATTCAGAATGAGTTATCTAAACGATGATGAAATTATTGCTCTGGAAATCATATTCAAGCCATATTAGAGACTTTAATTGTTACATCCCAGGTGTGCCCTTGACTTAAGGTCCCCGACCTCTCTAGGCTTGGCATTCGAAAACTTTCCCAGCAACCTCAGAGAACGTTTACCAAACAGTGGCAAGGGCACTACGGAGAAATCTGGCCAAAATCGGCTCTAATGCTAAAAACCGCATTTGAAGGTTTCTCAGTTGAGATATTTTTCGTAGTTTCCAGCCTGCCAATTGTATGCATATACCTATAAATTGTAAATAATTTGCAAGCTCGTTAGGCGGCCGTCTGTTTTGGCTTTATAATTTGATTGAGCTACCGAAAAATTGAACGAGGCACGAGTCTCCCCCCCTACTGACCCCTGCGAGAAACCACTTTTGGCAGTCTCCACATTTTTGACAACTAGCCAGTCTGACAGTTTGTATTTATTAATAACTTATTTATTAAGTTACTCATGTTGAGCGCGGCGAATTGATTTGCCAAAATTGTGGTCGCGACTTGCGAAAATGCAAATAAAAGTCAGGTTCAATGGCCGATAAGCAGCACGGCATTGGCATGACCACCTTTGTTTTGGTTTTCACATATTTTTGGCCAATTTGTTTAACACCTTTTATTTAATTTAATAGAGTAGTCATCAAGTTAAACAAACTTCGTACCACGCTACGTATGAGTGATATGTTTTAAATGAATTCCTAGCCACTTGTTGGTATTTTTATGATCGCAATTCATGTATTTAAAGCTAATTTATGTATCATGCATATTTATAGTGAACTGCAGGCCCATTTAATACCAATCAGATTTAAACTTTGTTGCCCCCAAAAGCCACAAATCAAAAGTACACACCTTGGATAGGTTTTCCAATATCCAATATCCAATAGCAATCGGGAACACTTGACTTTTGCACTTGGGTCGACCATGCAAATGTCAGCCAAGACACTGTTGGCGCGAATAACTGTAATTAAAGCCATCGCGGTCTTAACTGGCCAAGAGAGAAGTTAGTTGGTAAGTCGCTGCCAAGGCTTTTGTGGCATTTGTCAAGCGCTGAGACCCCCTTCTGAGATTAGACCTCGTCGGCTGGCTTTAATTCTCCACCGCACAGGGAAAAATATTATTTTTAATTTGCATTTCTGGCAAATGCGATTCGCATTACCAAGGTTCTTGGCCAGCTTTGATCCACTTATGGCCCGAGAGCTGTAAATATTTTGGCTAAAAATTAACACCAATTCGCAGACGACTGCTAACCTGATGAATGTGAGCCATTTAAGCCGGCATAACGTACGTATATCCCCGGAGTTGCAAAAACAACCAAAAGGGCCATATCGTGTTGGCCTGGAAAATCTGCCTTGTCACTGGCAAACAAAACAAACCTGACCGTCGCCAACAAAGCCCCACGAATAAACAAACAAATTTTTTGGAAGAAATCAAAATGTGCAGCATGGGGGAGTTCCCAAAAAATAAAATCTTTATCAACGATATGTCCATAAATTTGACACTTTAATGCCGAACTGATGAAATCTGAAATAATACTCGCCGGCACGCCAGTGACTTCATGATGATTTCTATTTTTAATATTTTTAACTTGTCTGGATTACATACTGAAATCATCAAGTAGCTTGTTTTCTTTTTTATTTCTTTTATATAACGCGCACAGCTAATTCGAATTTATTTTAACTAGGCTCTTAAATTTCACGGTCATATATGGGATTATTTATTTGCCACCATTATACAATTGCCTTTACAACTGTTAATCATTTAATTGCTGAACATAAAGTTTTAATGACTTTTACGATCTCACGTTTTAAGGAACGTTTTGAAAATTTATATTTAAAGTATTATTTTAAGTTTTCAAAATAATTGCTGAAAAGTAAATATTTAAAGACAGGTGTTAACAGATAGATCATAAAAAGTTTGCATAAGCATGGTATTATATCTTATAACTATTATATTATATTTATTTAGTTATATATTCATTTCTTTCTATGAAAATCAACCATTTTTTGTTAACAAAACGTGACCTTCATTATTAACACGCTCCAGATTCGGTTCGGCTACCGAGACCCATCGAATTCAAGTTCAATGGCCAAAAAACCAAAAAAGTTACCTGTTTTCCTCCGACCCCCCCTACAGCCGACTCTACCTTTACCTTTTCTCTTTTCTTTCACCAAATGACTCACTGGCCAAAAAGTCCAAATGGCCGCAACTGTAACGAGTTTTCCTAACCAACTCCGTTGGTCGTTGACTTTGTCGGTAAACGAAATATGTGTCAAGGTCGTTGCCGGGCGGGCTCTCTTTCTCGTCATAGTAGTCATGATACCCGCACGATGTACGTGCTGAATGGCAGACAGAAAAGTCATAAAAAAAATTTACACAATTTCACAATTTTGGGCAAAAAAGCGATCATGCTCGGAATCTCCCTCGACATGGAAGCTGAACAATTAAAATTGCATTACTTCATCGCCGAGGGGTTCGAAATTCGAATTCAAACAAAAAAGCCAAGGAGGAAAACCGCGAAGAAAGAAACGGAAGCTCGTATGACCTTGATTTTGTAGCTGGTTCTCTGGTAGAGAGTAAAGCTCAAATGCACTAAGCACTGGGAGAAATATTTCGTAATATTGGACTTTGCTTCCTTATAAAATATGTCATCTAAAAAGAATAAACTTTGAAAAAAAAGTCTTTGAAAAAGTTTTAAAAAAGCAGCAGTAAAAATTTGGTATATAATCTTATAAAAATAAAACATGAAAATATTAAATATTATAAAACTAGAGAGTCATTTCTAGAGAGTCATGTGAAATATTTCTTTCTATTAGGCTGTACAATTTCCTATTTCATTATTTAATTTTTGAAAAGAAATAGTTTTAAATATACCCAAAAATCAATGGGTAATACTTTTTTATTATTAAATTTTATGAAAAAAAGAAGTAAAGAATATTTTTAAGTATTTGAATATTAAATTCTTTACAAAACAATTATTAAATCTGCCACAATTAATATTAGCCTTGTAACTACAATGTACATAAGTTACACTTTTTGTAATATAATGCCCCTTTTTTCACCAGTGTACTCTTAGTTCTTCAAGCCCTCTTAGTCTACTCCCGACCCCACTTCCACGCCCACCTCAGCCTCAGCCTCAGCATCTCCCGCCCACTCGAGCAGAAGCCAACTTTTGGCATTAACCACAAAAGTTCAGATCTCAGATCGGAGTAAAAATTATAGCCGCCTGCCTCGGTTCGAGTATGAGTGCTGTGCTCTCCCTGGTTGTGCCCCAGTCTGCTGAGTGTGTGTGTGTGTGTGTCTGTGAGTGTGCAGGCCCCCAAAGCAAACAATGTTTAATGTAGTTTTTTTCTTAATACTTGAAGCGTCGGGCGGCCGCGGTCGCAGTTAGTCTCAGCACAGCCGCAACGGAGTGTGCACGCGCCAGAGCAGAGCAGTTAAAAAATAGCTTGAAAAAAAGGCTTAAAAAATAGGCTTTCAGTCTTGTGGCTTAGCTACTAGAGTGTTCCATAAACCGTCAAGAGCTTAGAGTCCCGAACTAGTTTGCCGAATGTGAATGCGAAAATTAATCATTTTTCCAAATTCGAAAAAAAGTTGTGGCGGTTTACCAGCTTTTGCAACCGAAAATCACAAGAGAAAAACAAGTTGATATTTTGTCAATTCAAAATTGTTTGCATTGCAATATTGAGTGATTGAGAAAAGCCCCAAAAAAAAGTGACACACCACATAAAAAATACACTGTATAACCTTCGAAACTAAAAACGAACTAAAAATAAACACACACAAAGTAGCCCAAGTGAAGACACTAAGACACCAATAATTGAATTTCGATCGACCCTTACCACCCACCCACCTTTCGCTCACCTGGCCAAAAATGGATGCCCCCAAGCAGGTAAATGACAAATTTATCCCAACGCTACTCAAACTTTGGCGAGTTAACTAGGCTAAGAGACAACAACAACCAAGGTGCGTGACAAGTTGTCGGCTGTCTTTGTGGCTCCAAAACCTGCCACGCCCCTTGGCCCATTAATGCAAGGCGGCATCGTAATGGCCCGAAACGTGTTTACAATTTGTTTTTATTTTTTATTTTAGCTGTAAGTGTCTCCTTTTTTTTGGTAGTATATTGGTTTGTTTTTTTTTTTGCTGCATGTCACAGACGTTTGCCAATTTTCTTAGCTCCCATCATTCATCATAATTTGGCGACATATATTTTATAATTTTTTTTAGGGGAAAAAAATATGTGTAGATTGATTAATAAATTATCTAGATGTCCAAGCAGAAAGATTAATTTATTGAGTTTTCAAGAAGCCATAAAATAAATGGTTTCAATAAGAGTATTTATCAGATTTTTCTGATGTATGACTTCAGATTGTTTTAAAAAGTAAAGATAGTTTAAAATATTTTTTTATATTAAATATTAGTTTCAATATTTTTTTCTTTTTCCCTATTACTATTGTCTCTTTATTATTTAATATTTTCTAATAAATGTATTCTAAAGTTCTACGAAACCTTAAAAAAAAACATCCCTTTACCATTGTATTCTTTTCGAATAAGTTTTGGTAATAATTTTTATAAAAACCAGTCTAATTTAAGCCCTGCTGTGTTGGCTGGGATTTAAAAAAAAAAAACCTAGACAATTTTAAGTTTTCCGTTTATTTATATAATGAATTTATTCTTAAGTAGCACAATATCTATAAAATACTTACCCAAACTCAACCATTCTATTCTTTGCGAATTAGTTTTGGTTTTAATTTTTCTCCTAGATACCAGTTTAATTTAAGCCCTGTTAGACGGCAGTTTGTTGGCCAAAAAAACGTGCCAAGAACCAACACACAGATACAAATTAACACACACAAAGGCATTAAACTGCAAATTGCATTCGGTTATTAAAATTGTTAAAGAGAAGCAATTTTTCGGCGGCTTTCAATGCAAACTTTAATTGCATTCAATTTAGATAACCTTGTGCAGAATTCTCGAACAAAGCAAAGTAAATGCTAAATGTTGGGCAATTTCTGCTCAGCCATGCAATTTAGTTTAATTGCGAGTCAATAACAAATTCTATTAAAATCTATCCCAATTCGGGACGGAAGCTGAAGCTATATAAAATTTATGGCAATGGAGACATGATCCATTTGGACACGTGTCAACAGAGGCAGTACTTAAACGCCAAAGTTGATCGCATTCTCCCTTCACTTTGTCGATTCGCCACTTAAGATTTGACAATATCAGACATGTATATATGCTATATACGACTCCCACGTAAATATATGTATACAAGACAGTTGCCAAAAAGAATGGGGAAGCAGATGAGGCATCCAATTTGGTAGCAACAAATCTTTATAATTTATTATTGTGTAAGAGATACACAAATAAACATTTTGAAGAGTCTCCTTTTTTGTGGAGCTGATCTTTAAATCGGATAATGACTGAAACCAAAACGGCTTTGGAATTGGCATCTGAAACACATTTTTGGTTCTGGCATTTTCACTTTCAAAAAAAAACAATATAAAAAATAACTGATCTTAACCAGATGGTAGAGGTATCATAAAAATATTTTAGAACAAAGAGGAAGGAAGTTGTTGAAAAGATGTTGGAATTTTATCAGATCTTAGAACAAGAGAACTGAGAAATAATTCAAGTTTTAATTAAAGAAGCGATTAAACTATGAGCTGGCTTGTGTAAAGTTAATTAATTTGGTTTCTGATTATCCAAATAATTAGAACTCAGGGCCTTTGATCTTCTTACATAAAAAGTATTTCAATTTTCAATTAAAAAGCTATAACCCTTGAGTTCTATGGGTTAGAACTGATTATCCAAATTACTAGAACATTACTGCCTTTTATGACCCTAGCTTTTATTGCCCGTGTTGCATCAACATCAACCCTGTCATTGTTTTAAATACCAATTCACCTATCAGGTTTTCTAATCAGCTCCCATTCACCATCCACCGTGTCACCTGCCACACGCGGAATCCGTTAATTATACGGAGCGGAGGAGCGCTGGCATGGCAGCAGTAAGAGGCCGATAGATATGTGCATATTTATGGGAAAACGATAAAAAATGCTTCCACGTGCCGGCGATGAGTCGGTGGAAGAGCTCCTTCATTAATGCGCGAAATGTGTTAACCAATTAATAATAGAAATTAAGATTTTTGCCAAAAAAACAAAAGCCGACAAAATTGAAATTAATTAGAAGTTCATTGTGTTCAGAGGAGGTCTCGGCTTTCAGATTTGTTTTGAAGCCATTTTGGCTTAAAAGCCATGCCAGCCAACCTGGCACCAAGCATGTCTCAAAATTAGGCGGCAAGCTCCCCTTTGATCTGATCAGAGATCCACTCCGGCCTGGGATCTCACCAGCAAGACGATCGTGAGATGATTTGACCTGACCCAGGCCTGGGATCGTTCCGTCTGGGATTTATTAGAATTTCCAATGAGTTCGCTCCCCATTGCATGTGGATCGGACTTTGGGGGGGGGGGGCCTTGTGCAACTCATCCCGCACCCATAAGTCCCCCAGACACCCCTCGGGCACCTACCTCTTTAGATCCGGCAAAGTTCAGAGCATGCAATTCTCAGACTTGACTTCTTGCCACTAAAATAAAAAACAGTTTTCGTAAGCCATTTTGGCCATGTGAATACCGGGTGGCGAATAGCAGCAGATGTGGCGACGAGTAACAAAGGCAGTTGCACTCAGAGAAAAACTTTACGGCTTTATTTTAAAAAAAATCTTTAAGATACATTTTACAAATTTCAGAGATAAAGGATCTCCAAGCACTATTCTTTATTTTTTACAAAGAAAGTTATGTAAAGGATTAACAAAGGAAGAGGTTTATTTTCCATCTGATTTACCTGAAAATATTACAAGGATTTCTGTAATTATTTGTTTAATTTTTAATAAAAAATTCCTATTGTTTTTAGTAGGTAATTAAATAAATTTCTCTCTCTGCAAAGAGCCGCAATTTTTTTTTAGTTGGCCCGCACTTGAGGTTGAGTTATTACACGGGTTTCTGTCTCCATCTCACCTACTTCCACCCGCCCTGCTTCTGGGGGGCTCTTCGACCCCGGCTCCGGCTGTGGCTCCACGTTGTTGTTGTTTTGTCTCTTTTATCTGTGTCGCCGCCGTCACACTCGCACACTCGCACTCACATGTGTCCGTCCGCCTGGCCGACCCCCCTTAGCCGCCTGCCGCCTCCCTCGCTCGTTTGTTTGCTTTTCTGTTATGAAACAAAATTGTGTCAAGGTCGAATTTGCATGAACACGCTAAGCAGCCACAGCCGCTGCCGCTTGGCGGGTGGTGGCAGGCCTCAGAGGGGCAGGTCTCAGCTGTTCTCTGCGAGAGAGCTTTGCAAATAGTTGGCCTTAGTGTTTCGGTTTTTGTTTCGGTTAAAAGCCAAGTTAAGAGTAAAATGCTGGAGAAGCTGACAATGTAAACCCTAAATTATGGGACAGTTGACGGTGAAAACAAAATAAATATTTGCCACGCCCCGGCATCCCCGACAGACAGGTGGCCGGGCAGTTTGGGGTTAAGTATTCCCCATATTTGCATCCCCCCTAAACGAATCCGAAGTTACAGCCGGTACGGGGCATTTCCCGAGTCAACTTTAATGGCATTTTTTTGTTGGCTTGGGTTTTGGCTTTTATTTAACTTTTATTTTATATTTAACTTGGCAGCTGTGTGATAAATTATGCAAGTGCATCTCGCTGTGCTAATGAAATCTACAAACAAACTACATGTTTCAAAGGGAATGTTACTAAAAGCTATACAAGCCATATATCTCTTACTGTTCCCCGGGTTTTGAATTCTTCTAATTGATTTCCCATGAGCTGGCAGTTGGTTAGAGAGCACTCTTTGTTAGAAATTATGCAATTCAGTGTCAAGCAGCCCCCATTATTCAAAGACAAATTACTTATGCAATCTGGCAGCAGAAGAACTTCCTCCATTCAAAGTTTAATGAAATGAAATCATTCTCTAATTATCCATTTACTATACATATCTATGCACTCGGGGATGCATCATCATCATCTTCATTGTTCTGATTGCTCTTCTGCCTTTCACACAACATTCTCGGATGATGAACACAGCATAAAGTTGATATTGTTGTGTTATTAATAACTTTGATTATATATCTTATCCCTCCCCCGCCTTTCCATTAGAGATCTATCCAGTATGAGTTATGGTTGACCACCCACGATGTCCACTGGATAAACATTTGTGTTCGGGTTGTTTATCATTAAACAGCAAATAACCCGCCAAGGAAGTTGATTTTGGTCTTGAGTCATGAGAACATTCTACCTTTATGATTCTACCTTTTTTTTTTGTTAAATTGTAGCAGCACTCTACTTAAGACAGATAATTTAATCAGACAATTAATTTGTCACCAGCCGCGCTTAAATAATCTTACAAAAAATTAGTCATGTCTCCGAAAACAAGGCTGGAAAATAATTTGCCAAAAATGGCCAATTAATAGATCGCTATCAGAAAGGTGAACGGCAAAGCCAGCTGCTGTATGCTGCTTGCTACCAAATGTTTTAGGCCAACTGAACAAGAAATTATCGAATAAGAAAATACGATAAACAAATAATAAACAAAAAACCTTTTTTTTTGTAAGTAATACATATATTTGTGAGTATACTTATCGTAAATCCACCAAAAACCCAGCTAATAGCATCGATAAATCGCTCAGCACCCAGATATGCAAATGCAGCAGCCATATAACCAAAGCTAATTGGAAATTCCTGCAGGCAATGGTGGCCAAAAAGTGAAGGCAGCCACAACGCCAGACCCACTCAACATAAAATAAATAAAACCAACACAACGCGGCAGCAGCATGAATCAGGTCCGGGAACGCAGCCGGATATAATTTACATTTATCCGCATATCGACATGCAACTGCAACAGCTTAGAACCCATCGAAGAACGATCCAAGTTGGCTGACGAAATGCCAAGAGTATTGCCCATAAGCCACAGCGAAGACATTAATCTCCGCCTGTCGGCACATCGCGAGACCTGGCCAAGACATTGCCCCTCCCAAGCCTCCCAAACCACTCAGAGTCAATGGTGGCCCAGGCACTCTACAGTTCATTGGCGTTGACAAGCCCACCGTCGAGGCAACAGCAACTGGTTCGTAGACGGGCCTACAAAAGGAATGGTTAACTCTTTATATGGAGCTTTATAAGCCCTAAAGACTCTAAGTAAAGGTGTTATAAAAACATCCTTTTTAATCGTTTATTTTTTAACCTGAAAATGGTCATAAACCTTTTCTTGATTATACCAATCCCTTTAAGAGCTAATTAAGTGCACTTTTGGACTCCTTTTTTATGGCTTTTGAAGTTTTTAGGTATCTACCATTACCAGTTGTCACTGCATTTTAGCTTCGACCTTCAAACCGTATTATATTGGCTTTTCGGTGCCTGGCAACGCAAAACTTTCCAGTCTCCCGGCCAGAGATTTCTAAGCAAGTTCGTTGCCTAAGTCTTTTGTCTGAGCCCGAGTCTAGACGAATTTATGAGGCGTGACCACCGGCATGACGCTGTCTTTACAATAGAGTCATCAGCCCTGGCTCCCGACCCTCTCCCGCACCCCCTCCCACTCCCACTCCCCTGCCCCTTTCACCCCCACCAACTGTTATGGTTAATGGGCGAAAAAAAAAAAAATGAAACCCAAAATCTGGCTAAAAATAACAAATGTGCCGCAATTACCAGCATAAAAAATAAGTTGGGGGCAAAAAATAACATGGCCCACGCGACCGTCAAACAAGCTGAGAACGCCCCAAAGGAATATATATTTTTGTTCGTGTAGCGTGTCGTGTGGTGTGTGTTGTGCTTGTGTTTGATGTGGGAAACACTCGAAATTACCAAAAATTTTCAGCTGTCGAAACAATAATAATAAAAACTCAACAGAACCGTTGAGAACAGAACGGAGCGAACAGGCGATAGCCCGGCACCCGGATTTATTATTTATGGCTCCCATTGTGGTTGATGCTTGATTTGCTTTTTATTTTTTTCCTATTTCTTCATACATACTCGGTATGTATATTTAATATTTATTGATTTTTCTGTCCAGGTCTGGCCAGACAAGACGCATTCATCACGTGCGTCATTTAACAGTTCAATTGATTTGAATAAAAATGCTATTTATAGAGCCTGACTTTTGCCTGGAATATTATTATAATGATATACCCCCTAGGGCTGCAAGATTTAAAGGGTCAAGCCGCCAGTCGTAAATCGCAAATCAACTAATCGTAGACTATATGACTCACATTCTCGATGCAGAAAAGTATACGGATTATCTAACCCAACAATAGGGGCTTTCTCTTTCCCCTGTAGCCGGTGAACCGGTCTGTGGTCTTCTAATTGGCAGAAAGGCTAAAACCAAAGCGGATATATAAACTGAAAGCATTTTGTACTTTCCAATTTATAACAAACAAAATTCCACATTTTAAGTTCAAACCAAAAAATCCGGTTCGGCTACGGCTGGGTTCTCAGATTCGGGTTCTCCTTTTATTTTTTAATGTTTGTTCTCTGGCTAAACAATTTGTTACAATTTATTTTTGGCTATTAGCCGGGGTAATGGACTCCCACAATGCGAAATTTTGGCAAACTTTTGTTTTTTTTTGGCCCCCAGCTCCACTGACAGTAATTTATGATTTTAATTGGTAATTAATTAACTAAAGCATATATGTGATCTCATGACACAGAACAGCACCCACAAACGATGACCAAATGATGATTTGATGGGATTACTGGCCACAACTATCCCAAAGCCATCTCCACTGGCCTCCACCCCATTCGGCGATGGGGAAACCATTAATTAATTAGAGCCTCCGCCTGCATTGTTCGCTTTTTTTTATGGTTTGCTAAGCACAGATTATAAACTAAACGTTTTATTTAATTAATGAGCTACGAGAATTAACAACTAAACGGGGCGTATCAAATGTCTTTTATATGGAGGTGGAAGTAGTAGAATAGAATAGGAATACCTAGAATAGGAATAGGTATTATTGTTAATACCTTCTAATTGGCTTCCTTCGTGTCACGCTGGTATCTCTAACTAAAAATTCATGGCGCGTGGCAAATAAAATTCCCAAAAACACAAAAAATCATCAAAGACAAGACAACAAATTAGTTGCCAAATTAGTCGTAGCCATTAAAAAATTGCTTAGCACTTTACAAATTATACAACAGCCCAGACCATACAACACAAAGCATTGGAAATCAGCATATAAACTATATATACTATTTATTATAAGAACTCCACTTAATTTACGATCGGCTCTAAGAACTGGTTCAAAAAAATCGATGGATGGTAAGAAAACAAAAATTAATCAGATCATTGACCCAGAGAACTACTGAGAAATTTCGGGACCGATCGGGACCACACCCATTGCCAAAATAAAGATGAGTACCCCGAACCGTTAACGATAAGAAGTAACGAATTCCTTAAATCCAGTTCCTCCGATCGATCCAATAAATAAAATCATTTAAATTCGGCTAAAAGGTAGCCATAAAAACGAGAAATTACCTCGGACATTTGCAGATGATTTTCAGCTTTGGATGCTCTGGGCTTTCACTTACTAATTAGTGTTATTCAATATATTCAATATATTAAAAGATTCGGGGTTTTTTTTCGTTATACAAAGTATATTTATTTAGCTTGCATTGGTTTATTGTGGTTTGTGGGAAAAGATGAAGAACGGCATACATTTCGAATGTGAAGAAGGGCGAACAAGAGTGTATAAGATTAAGAAAGTTATGAACTTTAAACTGAGAATATGGAACTAATTAAATTTACATTTAGAGAAGTCCATCTCGGGATGCTGCTGTTTGAATCTGTAAAGGATAGAAAGAATAATTAATACTATTCATAAGAAAAGGAATAACCATTCCATACTTCTCGAGAATGTCTTGCTTTTTGCGATCCTCACTGGTAGGCAGACCCATCTCCTTCTGCCTCTGATCGAACATCATCTTCTCCACCATGCTGCGAGTCTCGCCATCCAAGTCCGATAGCTTGGAGGGCTCTGGATTGATCTTCCGTGTGGATATCTCTGGATCGGTGGTCACCAGGCGACTCCACCAGTTCATCTTGTTGATCTTATCGAGGGTGATCATCACGGTCTTGCTGTCTTGCAAGACCCAAACGGACTCCTCCTGCTTCACCTCGCCGCACAGCTCGCCGTCGATGATGGGCTCTTGACCTTTGAGGCCCACCTTCAGGGTCTTCTTACCGATGCTGACCACCAGATCTCTGGCGCGCAGAGCGAATGTCACGTTGAAGGGAATCTTGAGCTGCAAACACAAAATTATAATGATTACTACTTGTATTATCCAACCTTGATCTTTGAAAAATAACAGAATGTATGTGTTTCTAAAGGCCTGCAAAAACACGAGTGTTATATCTTCCTATCCCTGTTTTTTTTTCGAGTGTATTTAATGCAAAAGCGATTGGGTTAATGACGAACAAACTAAAGTAGAGTGGATCATTCAGAGGTTCTTCATGTAATCAAGCTTGGAGTGGCAGGTCGTCTAGTGATTAATGATCGGATGTGTGTAGTAGAACTTCTCATAAGGCTGGAGGAGATTCTTTTCAGCCAGACTTTGCTTTGGTCATTGCACAACCTTGGAAAGCTAATAACGATCTCTGCTGATTCTATAAATAACCGAATCCGAATGCAACAGGGGCACGTCTCTGCATCTGATGATGATATCGCATCAGGCACCGGCAGCGGCAGCCAGCTGCCCTTCACCAAAAGAGCAGAGCCTCCTTTGTTCAAGGACCTCGTATAGAACGGGAATTTAGTTCAGCTGCCAGTTCAAGGACGTACAGCGGTTCTTCAGGTCCGGCTTTATATTCAGGTCCGAACGAGAGCAATGCCGGCGGCAGGAGCTGATCAAGAATGTCGCCCAACAGGTTGCAACGGAGGCTACTACACTGGCTGTTGGCCAAGTTCACAGCAATTACACTGGCGTCTAGAATTATATGCCACGGCTTGGCCATTAATTATAAAAATCTCATGGAGGGCTATATACGTGGCGTACATGCATACATTAACACCTTTCCCATTAGCTCGCAGGCAGCATAATTAAAGCCAAAGTTATTAGACAACCGGCTGTGCAATCAATTAGCGAATCGCATGTGTGGCAGAAACAATGAGGCTCAAGTTAAAGGCTTTAATTTAAATCTCACGATGCATCAAGGACGCTTTCGTTGTGCGACTCTGACGACTCCGACTCTGACTCCAAAGCGACTGGCGAACTCATTCGTGTGGGCAGCCAACCAAGGCAGAAGCGATTCTTCTGGGCCCCCAGAGAGCACGCGGCACATGTCAACAGTACACAAAATAAATTATTGGAAAAAATTATAAAAAATTGAAACACACAACCCACAGATGTGGGTGGCATCTTCATCTTTAGCCAACGATCGCCGTGGAAAAAAATGTGTCAAAAGCTGAAACTGAAGCGGATGTCAATTGGAAACTCTGATTCGTACGCGGATGTAAGCCAACAACAGAAACAGGGCTAGCAGCAAAAAAAAGTGGCAACAAAAATAGCAGCCAAGAATATCTGGATACGTGGGCAATCCAACCGCTTGGCAACCGAATAAACATTGCTGGCAAATTAGTGCAAAAGAATGCGAATTTTTTATAATAATCCAATTATTTTGCAGAACTCTTTTTTTTTTGAAAGAGGAAATAAGCCTGGTGATCTGAAATATTTTTCCTTTCACTTACAATCACTAATCAGTAAAATACAAGACCAGTTTATGTTTATTTATTTTTTGTTAGAAAATTAAGACAAGTGAAATATGTGACCACTTAACAGAAACAAATTTTTGTTCTGCGTCTTATTAATTTTTTATTTTTGGGAATTGTATGGATAGTCCCATTTAAGTGGCATTTTATCAGGTTGTAGATTTTGGCAATCTTTGCAATCGATTAAGCTTGTTTTTTGAAATTAATTAAATAAATGTAAAATAGAGACGGGACTTTGAAAGCTAATGGCGGCTTTCTCAAGGGCCCAGTCTGCATGGGCCGAAGGTTATGCAAATGTCAGAGAAGAACTAGGAAACTTACAAAGCTGAGAGGCCAAAAGGAAAAACAATAGACGCCAGACTCTTGGCCAAAAAAACAGAAAGGTAAACACACAATGCCGAAGCGTCACTACTGAGCGGCTGCCAGTCAAAGTCAGAGTTCGTTTTTGAGTTCACAAAACAGCATAAAAGGTGTCGTGAATGAATTAATGAATAATAACAAATATTGATGACTGCGACAACGGCAAATAAAATAAAAAAAAAAATCAACAGACACGAGACATGGCACACTTATCCAGGTGAGAGCAGAAACCGCAGACGAAACGTCTGACGGTGGGCGATTTTATGCAAATTGAAAAGTTAATGCTGGCTGCACGTTAAATCGCCAATCAGTTAATCGATCATTCAAACATGATTCGAGGCCCCAGACATTTGAACTAATTCGCCAATCATGTAAAGTGAAAGAGAAGAGAGACCTCCTCCGAGGTATAAACTCTGGACCAGCTTTGTTGTTGGCCCGTTTCTTGATTAATTCTATAAAACTTGAACAGCATTTCATTTTCTTTAAATATCTAGCCGAGTATAATTTATGCTAAAAGATGCGATTCGGTGCCAGGCACCACCAAAAAAATGAAATAGGAAAAAAGAACGGCCCCACAAACAACAAACACAAACGATCTCCGACAAAAGTAGCGTAGAAACAACAAAATATCCATTTAAACTTAAACAAAATAGACAAAAAAGCAAAAAAAAAAAATATTTTCTGATGGAGTCGAGTGGTTTTTTATAAGTGTTTTGTATTCGATAATGTTATCAGACAAAACAGCTGAGTAGCTACCAGAACATACAGTCTTAAGTCTTTAAAGGTCTTAAAACTCATAACTTAATATTAAAATATCTAAAACTTAGAATAATCTTCCTTAATTTTTCCTATAACCTCTATTTTTATTACATCATTAAATGGTAATTATTATTCCGAAAGATCACTATTATGGAGTGCCTACTGTTGGCTCATTAAAAGCGGCTTAAACTTGACTTATTTGCGGCCAAAAGTGGAGTATATAGAATACCCTCTAGAAGACCGATTCGAGCGTGGCAAATTTGTTGTTTTTTTATTATTCCCTCTCGTTTAGAATTGTTTTGGGTTTTAAATCTGATTAGAACGTTGGCTCCAAACTAGTTCCCATTGGGTGCTCCAACTGCGGGGCCCTCCTATCGAGTGTGTACAATAGAATCCGTATTGACATTTGCATGGTAAATGAGATTTAAGATTTGAGAGTTCGATCTGGTAGCTATTTGTTTGCGCCATAAGCGGATTACAGAACAAATGATATTGGAAACTCTATCCGGTTAACCTACTCTGTTTTTGGAGTGGGGGATATCCCAAAACAATGATCTAGCCAGATCTGAAATTGTCATCTTGAATGGTTATTCCATAAATTAAATAAATGTAAAACTATATAGAACTTGTTTCAAATAAATGCCCGAAATTGGTAAACTAAACTTTAGATAAGAACCTAAGGAAACTTTTTCCCAGAATATCTTTTGGCATTTTTTATGGTTCGATCTGGATAGTTAATTCTCTATCAGGAAGTTGAAAGCGGATCTTGAAAGCATTTAATTTTCTTAGGGGCTTTGGCAGGTTGTTCTCCAGTCGACTTCTTTGTTCGCACTTTGTTTGGGGCTTCCAGCAGTCCCCAGTTTTTTAGCCGCGCCAAAGTTGACTTTTGTGGAGATTTATAGGAGAAACCCATTAAGAGGTTTATAAGCCAAACAGGTGTGAAACGGACAAATAAAAGATCAGTTTCATTTATACAATGCAGCAATTGCCAATATCAGATATATTATATATAGAATCGACACGTAATCAGTATTTCCGCTTGATTTGCGAATGAGTCAAACATTTTGGAATTTCTCATAATTTTCTGCATTAACCGAAAATACGAAAAAAAAATAAAATCAAATAAATACCCAACAGTCACCAAAGACAGAATCCGTAAAACGTTCTCTAAAATTAAGCTTTAATAGCGGCAATCAAGAAAGATATAGCCCTGGGCCCTATGCCACATAAGCGTGGCATACGTCAACGGATCTATCCAGATAGCTTCGAGGGATTTCCCCGTTTACCGCCACAAAATTATGGATTCTCACACATATTTGAATATTATTTCTTTTTTTTTTTTTTTTATTAATCCCAATTGTTGTCACCCAAAATGGAACACACACCGCTGGGCACGTAAGATCCGTCCGGCGTCACAAGCTACTACTTTGCATGCCTAATTATATGCGAGATTTTGTCGATATATCTTTTTATTTTCGTTGTTGTTTGAGATGAGATGAGGTGAATGCTGTTTGGATTCTATGGCGGGGGAATGTCTCGGCATGGTTCGACTTCTAGCTGATCTATAGCAAGTGTTTGGCTCCCATTCGCCGTCATCCCAGCTCTTCAAGTGGCGACGTCCCTCAATCTTTGTCCGTGAAGTGATCTCGATTTCTGGCTGATTATTTTTTTGTTGTTAATGCGATTCGCGTTCGCTGGAGTCCATTGGCATTGCTCTGGTAACTGGTAACTGGCCGTGTCAGGTAATCTTTGTCAACTCTCCGCTGATTAAATCGGCCAGAGCTGGCATGGGCCAGCACTTCACCCATACCATAATAATTCAGAGGCATCAGGCCACTCACTTGTCTCACTTAAAAGGTGATAACAAGATGCTCGACAGCGGAGGCTATAAAAGCTATAAGCCGAGAAGGAATTGGATACATTTTGCTACTAGAGGAGCTCTCCTCCTCCACCTAATGACCGATTGGCAAATAAATCTGTAATAGAAATATCCGAGATATTTGCTTGTTTGTCCACTCAAACAAGGGATTAGGCGATGAATGATATAAGGTGGGATCCGACGCGGATTAGGCTTTCCGATCGAAGATAAACAAACAATAGTTGAGAATGTTTTTAAATTCTGGGGATTTTCGGCAATTTGTTTAACAAATGCTACCAAGAGAAACGTAAACATTCAAATGAAGGAATTTTGTTAATGGGAATTATTTATCTGAAAGATGACTCACTGATACTAGTTGGTATTTTCATTGAGTCAACATTTAATATTTAAGTTTGTAAAATAAAACTTGCTTGTGAAGAACTAACCGAAGTATTGCTTCAAAATCTTATCATGTTGATATCATGTTTCAAATTTCATTATAATTAATCGATAAATTTTGTTTTCATTATTGGAGGCGCTGATATAAGGCTTTTGTGTGTATCGTTGACGTTAAATGCTTTCTTAGAATTTTAAATTAGCCAAAAATAGACTTGCTTTAATACGAAATGGCCATATTAATAACGGCCATATTATTAACATATAAGACCATAAACCGTTGATTTAATAATGGAATACGAATTAATCAAAAGAATAATGGTGCTACAGCGAATGGGCGTGGCTCGGTGTGGTCTGTAAGGTGGTCAAGGTTTGCCCTTAATTATGTTAACATTAAAAGAGAATTATGGATTTTCCCAAGCAATCAAATTTGGATTTCTGGGCTGCCGCGAAACGGATCTAGAAACGCCCACACGCCAGAAACCATCAAGAGCCCTTCATTTTTTTTTTGTAATTTGAAGAGCCACAGAATCAGAAATACCCAGAGAATGAGCCAAAGGGCGGTCCAAACCGGCAGAAAGCCAAATAGAGTGCTTGGAAGAAAGTAGGCAAGTCAGTCCAAACATCAAAGCCGGCCACAAACTCATCAAACATAAATGAAAACAAAAGATTTGGAAGAAAAAGTTGCCAATCGTTGAGTGGTTTATAAATACAAGTAACAGTAGAGGTTGCTACCATGGAAATATTTATAAGAATATATCATTTTCTAGACTAATTTATGGATTAATTAGTCTCCTACTTGCACCCTGCAATTATTTTTTATTTAATATTATCTACAAGTTGATTGTTTAGCCTAATTAGAGGCTGTTTTAATTAACGAGCGACTACTGTGGCCAGAACAACACAATGTTATGACATGCAAAAATCCGGCAGAAAGCCAGCGCAACAACAAACACTTACACTCCAAAAGGTTTGCGCATCAGCGTCGCCGTCGGCCGCAGCAGCAGCAGCGACGCTCAGGTGGGCAGAACTCAGGTGAGCAGAGACGCTGCCTGCTTAAGCCAGACTGCTGCTGGTGCTGCTGCTTATCCACCAAGTCCCCAGCACGACTTCAGTTCGATTCTTGAGGCCGTTTAGATCGGTTCTGTTTGGCGGCACGCGCGTTAAAGACCCAGATTGTGATTCTTCACAAAGCGAAGACAGGAGAATTACGAAGAGAAGAATTGCGAGGTTTCCCCAAACAGCAGCCGTTTGATCAGCTGAGTGTTTCGCGAGCCGCATTCAAATAAATTATACGCTCGGCCGAGACACATCATAAAAAGGCCCAATTAAAGACTGACAACCGGAGCGAGAACTCTGCTTAAAAATAATCCAAAAAATTGTGATACTAATTAGCTTAAATCGTGTGTGTGATAAATTACTGTTTAACAATTAAAACAAATCCTGAGAAACAAAAATTACAAATTAACAAAGTAAGTAAAAAAAAATAAATGAGTAAAGAAAAAAGCCAAAAATAACAATGTGCGAAGAAAAAACAAACCGAAAACTGGCCAATCAAGTTGAATCCGAATACCGAAGTGATAAGACTTCCGCATGCCTAAATAATATTTACAATAAATATACAAATCGGAAGAAGCAGAACGAACAAATTTATTAACTTCTGTGCTTTGTAAGCCAAAATAAATAAAGACACACCGGGCCAAACAAACAAAAGACTCAAGACACAAACTTGAAATGCTACTTTTTTTTTCTCTCGAAAACCAAATGGATTTTATTTTTATAGAATTCATGCGTTTATTAGAATCCCAATTAATTGCCGCAATTACGTCAAAGTCACACAATCGAGAAAAAAAAGCCATTTCAGAGAAAGGCCAGAAGATAAAAGCTGGCCCAACAAAAACTGTAGCAGCAGCTCGACTTATTGGTGGTGGGTGCTACCAACAAAAAATATATGGCCGAATATTAAACACAAATCTGGCTTTTAGCCAGCCAAGACCAGAGACCATAAATATCAAACAAGTTGGCAACAAATGCAAAACAAAGACAGCTCGAAAGTTCAGGTTTTGTCTTTTTTTTTCTTAAGATTTCTTCTTCTGACGATAGCAAAAATACAAATTTTTAGGAGTAGGAGTAGGGAACAGGGCCTGGGGAAGACTTAAATGTGCTGAGAATAAATTCTAGAGTAGAGCGGATGTGCGAATTCGTGACACGATTTAAGTGGCTTTCCTATCAGGTTTCAGTTATAAAGGGGTTCCAACACCTTTAAACAATATCTAACCTATCGATTTCACCTCTTTTCAGATGCAGGACTATTGGCATATTCCCCGCGCCTCTCTGGCCTCTTCCTCGAGCTCGGCCATTAGTTCGGCCAGCTCCTCAAAGTCCTCGAACAAATCCCATTCGAATCCGCCCACCCTCAACCAGCGCAGCTCCCCCAGCAACATCGCCAACACCAACAGCAATAATAATGCGACAAGTGCTGCTGTTACGGCGGCAGCGGCGGCGGCTGTTCTGGCGGCTGCCAAAAGGGGATCACGGAGCTCTCAGGGCTCCAGCGATAGCAACAACAGCACACGGGTGAGTAAGCCGGGCCCACGCAGGCATCGGAATGTGAATCCGTGTCCAAGCCTCAAGAACCGTGACTCAACGAACATTCTCTTTACATATAGAGTGCTGCTTCCGGCTCACTGCTGTTGACGGCGGCGAATCTGGAACGCTTTGCGGAGATCCACAAGAAGCAGGAGCGCCGCAACAAGATGCTGATGGACAGCAACAGCAGTAGCAGTCACAACAATGCCAGCCACCAGCCCTCGGCGTCCAACTACAATGCCAACCTGGCGCTGGCCAGCGGCAAGGATGCAGTTATCGAGATCGGAGGTCAGGCCGCCGGATCGCAAGATCCCAACTTGCAGTACATCAAAACCAAAGACCTGGACACCGTGTCCATAGCCAGCTCCATGCACTTCACGATGGTCAACGGCGAAGGTGGTCCGCCCAAGAAACCGAAGCGTGGTCTCTGCGATCGCGGACGCCAGGTCACCGTTTTGATTGTCAGCATGAGCACCATCTTCATGCTGCTCATCATGGGCATGGTATATGCCCTGGAGAGTAAGTTTACTAAATAAAGTCTCAAAATTATGTTATTAACGATTTCTTAAAACCATTTGCAGTGCGTGCCCGCGACATGCCCAAGAGCTAGTGGCCAACCTCCCATCGCATAGCCAATTAGTTTAATATTTATTGTATTGTCTTTGTCCCCCCATTATTATTATTATTTTTATTATTATTATAATAATTGTTATCATGTCGTCTTGGCGCTAGTTGTGTAAGCTATTTATTAAACGATTGTTTGGATGGAGAAGGATGATGGATTCGAGTCAGTCGAAGCTGGGAAAAATTCGTTAGTATTAAGCAAGCTATGCTACGGAAACAGAGAAAAATACAAGAACTAGATCGGATAAACGCCGCCTGTTATCGGATAATGCTGTATCTTCTGGTTAGCAAATAAGTTATTTATCCCTGTGATATGTTTAATAAAGAGAATTTTATATTTGTAAGCGCTCTATGGTGGTGAGTCACATCTTATATTGAAGGGGTCATTAACATTCGAGAGTTTTTATGGTTGCTAACCAACATAGTTGGTATTTCAGACCTGGTTTTAGTAGCGAGACTTGGCTAGCACATTAAAACTGCAACTGAGACATAAATATATACTAATTCTTGGAGGTTTAAGGATCAAGTATTTCCATGAGCTCCTCCAACTATGCTTAATACAAAGTTAGTTAGCTTGGCAACACCTTTTGGCCACTATACCTATAACCATGGCAACACCTCACTGGGTCAACAACGAAAAAAAGATTAAAATTATGTACTACCCCTAATCGGACTCACCTCCACCTCCTGCAACGTTTGGGTCCAGGTGTACTTGTCCAGGGTGGCTCCGTTTCCTGCATTTGGTTTGAGCTTTCCAACCTCTGCCTTCTCGGACTCGTCGTCCACACTTTCGATTGGCTTGGACAGTTCGTTGAGATTAGGGGGAGCTGGCTCTCCACCAGCACCATCCAGCAGCTGCTGTCGTTTTCTAAAACAGACCACAGACACGGTTAGACTAAGGAACCTAGAATTTTTAGAATTAGGATTACTTGTCCTCCTCCTCTTTGATTATGGCTGCTGCCTCCTCGTCAGTGATATCACAAATTTTGTTATCGTCAATCTCCTTCTGGCGGGCCTCCCGCTCGGCCCGCTCCTTTTCCTCCTTTTTCTTTTGGGCAGCATCACGGCTCTTCTGCTTTTCGGCGTGGGCGGCCACCGCCAATTTGGACTCCTTGTTGAAAACATCTAGCAGCATCTTCTCCCACTCTGCCTGCTTCGCTCCTGTGAAGAAGTCGGTCTTGCGGCGCAGAAAACTGGCCAGAGTGCCAAGGAACTATAAGAAAATATACAAAAACACAATGAAAACATTTTAAAACAAAGAAAGAGCTCTTTGTGAAGTGTTTACCTCGGGCACTCCACCGCGATGCTTTTCTGCCACGGCCAGCAGGATATTGTCGAAAAGTCCTTCTTCGGCAGACATTCTGGAGTGTGTTTAGCTCTTTAGTAAATACAATTCGTCTATTTTCTGGACGTTTCGATCAAAAACTGGCTCGATGTAAAATCTGTTGTGTGCCGGCACATGTACGAAGCAGAGTTGCCAGGTTTTGAGTGTTTATATTTGATGGGAGTAGGATCTAGCTAGTAAAAGCTAAAAATACAAGACATTCATAATTCTTAAATATATGTTTATAAATTGAAAAATAAAAAGATTTATGTAAATATATAGTAAGATTTATATTTATAAAAATTCATTAGCTGTGTTAATTTAAGCCTAGTACTGAGTTGACGAAAATCCGCTCTTGAAATTCCGCTTGTGAAATTGCACTTTATTCGGCTACCGAGCTAGTGTGACCAACAAAATTAAGAAATAGGGTAATACTGAACAGCTGTTGTTTGTAAACAAAATAACAATAAACAAATATGAATTCAAATCAATTGGATTTTGGTGTTTTGTTTATGTATTTCGGCCCTAAGGAGCTGATTAAGAAATAGAAAACTGGGTCAAAATCAAAATAAAAATCAATCACAAATCATTTCAATGCCATTTTATGGAATTAAAATGCTCCTTGCGGGTCAAATCCTATATTATGGGCTTCGCCCTGACCGCACTAATTAATTTCAATTTATCCTCGCACGCCGAAAATTTTTCGGTCGGACAATTTTTTTCTTTCAAATTTTCCCTCCATGTTTTAGCTCTTCAAATAAATAAAATGATTTATTTCAAGACCCAAAATCAGCTGTTTATTTTTTTTGATCCGGCAACGCCATTCAATCGAAGACCTAAAATTTTTCTCAACTCAGTACCCGAAAAATTTAGAAGACCAAAAATTCTTCTTCTTTTTTTTTTTATACCGTTTTTTTTATATGGAGTTTGACAGCTGTCAGATTTTGAAGAGCGGATTTTCGTCAACTCAGTACTAGGCTTTATCGACTATCGCATCTTTAATGTTATGTATTCTTATTGATTCTTATGTTTGTTTCTGACACATACTTTTCTGCTTAAGTTTTAAGACAATATATAATAAATAAAAGCAATAAACAACCACATTTTTCTTTTTTATTTTTTAAATTCGAAATAAGTTTAAAAAGCAATAATTTATCAACACTGGTTTTTTGAATCAACGGCCACTCTAAATCTTGTGCAAGTGGCGCCCTCTTTCACGACGTGTAACGGTCGAATCTTTGAGAAAGCTTTTGAATTTTTTGAATTAAAAAATCCTTTAAATCAAAAATAAAACACTAATTAGTTTATAAAACCAAAAACTTGAAATGCTATTTCCCTCCAATTTCACAGTTTACCCAATTAACATCGTTTGGAGGCGCCTTTAAGCTGATACGCAATTCTCCGCTCCCATAAGCTTTTGGATTCTTGCTTACGGGGGATAGTTGCGATTTTCGTCCTAGGCTGGCTGGCGATTCTCTCGTTCTCATTCTCATTCGGTCTCTTGAAGGAATCGCACGTATTCTGAATACCGCGGAAAGCAAAGCAATCACAATCCCAATAAAAATCGAAGTGGCAGTGCTGAAAGCAAGTGGTAGATTGAAAAAGTGAAAAACTCTCAAGTTCTTGGTTTTTGTGGAAAGCGCAAAATTCGGAAAACTGTGCACAGTGGAGCGGTGTATCAGCGATTTAAAAGTAATTGCAAAATAAATGTGCGGAATTCGTTTTTGTGTTCGCTTGGGAAAAAAAAAAGAATGTGATATGCAAACTTCTACACTAACACGCACTCCCCTCCCACACACTTGAAAAAAGCTAGCGTGCTTGATATTTACAAAATAGTTGAGGAATGAGAAAGAACGTAATACCGAATACGGAAAACAGATAAGGGTTCCGGCTCCCCTTAGGATTTTCTCCCTTTTCCGTTTCCCGTAGGAGTTTCTCGGGAAAAAATCAATAAATTTTACATGCCGCACAGACACACAAACACACACACACCCACATGGGGGAAAGAACAAGAAGCAGCCTATCAAGAGAGCTGGAGAAGTAGGGGGAGCCTGCTCCCCATCTGAGAACACAGTGACGGTCATCCAGATATAAACAGAGAGGGGCGAATGGTCTTTAGGGAATAATTGAGAAATATATGATTATAATTTTAAAATATTGAATAAAAAACATTAAAGAAAAAATGCTTTAAATAAAATTTATTTTAAAATTTGGGTTTTTGCTTAAGTTTGATTTTTAAGACCATTCTTAAACTTACAATAGGTCGCGTTTCTTATCACATTCCTAACCTCATGCCTAGTATTGCGGCTTTAGGTTTTTTTTTTGTTGTTGCCCTGCCGCAAGCTGCTTGCTCTTGCCGCTGGGTAGTTCTCGCCTCAGCCTCAGCCACCTCCCCTTACACCGCTAAGTATATTCTTTATTTTTTCAACTCGTCGTTGACTATTTTATGGCCAGAGCTTCATTCCTGAATCTTGTTTTTGCTATTTACCCGCCCCTTTTGTCCTCCAGCTGCCACCATCCCCCATCGCTCCACTTACCATCATCACACCATACAGACATGTGCGATGCAGACCAGCTGCGTTTGCTCTTCTCCTGTTGTTCACTCCGCTTCAAGGTCAGAGTAAGGTTAGCTCCGCACCGCACCAGGCCATGGCAGTGATTTCTTCTCGGTAGCTCCACAATCAAGCCCCTCTTCCTCTTTCTCTTCTCAGGCGGCACAGTGGCAGCTGAAAAGCTGTAGCCACCGAAGGCCGCAAATTGTTTTGCCTAATGGTCGCATCAAAATTAATGACAGCTGTTGTGTCTTTGTAGTTGGGTATCCTTTTCTTTAGTGGGCTGTGTGGGAGGGCAATTTGGGGCTTGAATACGTCACTACACTGAGAAAAGATATTTTGGAAATAAAGGAAAATATATATTTATCAAAAAAGAGCTTAAATCAAACTTTGTCAGATTTTTCTTTTCTGATTTATTGATTATTTTATTGGAATGATTTTATTTGCGGTGTGCCCTTTGACATTTGGGGCTTTGACGTGGGTGTCAGCTTCCGAGCACTCTCCCTGGCTCTCTGATAAACTTGCTCTCTGCGGCATTTTTCTCTTTACATAACAGTTATGTAATCAGTTTGGCATTTCCTAGTTCCAAGCCGCCCCAAAGTTCTCGCCTCAATTGCACTTTCATTTAAAGGATAACGTTGGTGAGCTGCCTTTGTTTTATTGCCCATTTCTGTGTTTGCTCCTGTAAGTGTTTAAGTGTTTGTGTGTTCTATGTAGTACTATGTAGTACTTGGCAAGGATTGTGTTAAATTGGCTGAGCAAACGAGAAACAATGGGCTCAGGACTCGAAAAAGATGGGAAGAGATTTGCCCAAAAGTGTGTGAACTAAGGCCCCTCGAGCAGCTAAGTAGGTACAAAGCTCTCTTTAAGCCTATCAGGATATAAGCCTTTGCAAGACAAATAAAAAAAGCTAATAAAAATAACCTAGGTAGGGAGGCGAATATCTTTAAGGGACATGCCTTTGAATTAAATTCCTTAGCCCCTTTGCTGAAATTGGATACTCTACTTTGTGGTCTGAAAAATTTTGTTTAATGGTTCAGTGGTTTTACAAATGAAAAAAAAAAAAAACTTTAATTACGTAGCAGGGGAATATTAGGGACTTAAATAGGACTAATACTCTATTAGAGGTTTTTTTCTTAAGAAAGTATTTATTTTTTTAGACTTTCATAACTTTTATTAATTACCTATTGACTTTGTTCACTGACCCTTTGGCCAATTAAAATAAGCGTTGATTGATTTTCTATCATGAGGATTACCTGTGGCTGGTACTGATAAGCCCGGTCCCGAGGTCTCTTGTGAAAATATATGGCTATAATAAACAGAAGCACCCAGAACTGTGCTTCTGCCCATTCAAGTGACTCAGATCCCCCGCTGCAATTCACCTGGATGGGCCGGCCACTTGTTTACATAACTCTATAACTCTGGAATAGAAGGAAAGGGGATTTCAAGGGGCTAGACAACCTACCCCAAAAGTGCAACCGATCCCCGCCAGATACATACGTTCATTGGAAACTAATGTAAATTGCGACGTTGCTTGTTTATTGACTGTAAACTGTATTTGCCGCTTAATTAGTGGAATGGTAGTGGGGCATACGATATCCAAGGGGCGGCAGTGGGTGGTGGGAGGAGGACTGACCGCACCTAGGCCATAAATAGACAGACAGCTGCGATAAATTTCTTGCGACAGACAGGAATTTATGGAGAAAATAAGCTTAGACATTGGACACTTGGACATTTTTCCTCATTTTCCAGAAAATGAAATTCTGTAAAAACAAATTCAATACTTCTATAGACTTTTCTGAAGAAATAAAACTTTTAAAACTAATTGGAAACTAGATACTTTCAGCCATCTGGAATAAAACACCTTTTCGGATTCTGATAATTATTTCTTCATTAGCACCTCTAGAATAGAACTTTGGACCTTCAAGATTTCAAGTTTAATTAGTTACTAAAATATGTTACCTCTGAGTACACTACGTTTCAAATCTGTAATAACACTTCGGTTATCTCTACCGCCCAATCAAAGCTGAAGGCAGTTATCTGTTATTATTAAAGGAGTTATTGGACAAGGTTAATTATCGATTGGAGGGTATTATCAGCTCTTACAGCTCTGGCGCCCACTGTAGGGGTAGATAAAAAAAAAAAAACAGAATTCCCATAATTCTAATTTGCTCAAAGTAATTCCAAAGCGCAATAAAAAGCCAACCCAACCGCAAGACGCTCCGGGGAATCTCTAATTAAAAAGCAAAAAAGGCTATATAGACCTATATATGTAGGTAGTGGCGATAATGAAAACTAATTGTAACTATTTTTAAACCAATTGAGGTGGGTCCGCTCCCCTCCGGAGTGCCCCTTCGCGTCGGCCCACCGAGTGTTTCCCCAGCTGACTCAAGTGCACAGGTTGGAGGCCATAAAACAAAAGGGGTACCAATAAAGTTGGCCCCGACTGCCTCTGATAAGCGATATAGCCGGGTCAGATAATGCGCATTTATAATGCCAATAGACCCCCTCTATCCCCGTTAGCCCCCCTGAGATATTTCATATCGTAAATCGCTGGAATAAAAAGTTTATAGCGACGCCGGCGGCCGGCTACTGGTATTGGGAACAACCCAGAACTGATTTAAGAGACAGGAGAAAGGCTTTCGCTTTAGCCTAATGACTTTTCTATTGAGACGCGGAACCTGGCACCCATTAGGACCCCTAATTACCCTAGAGATAATGGCCTCGTGGCATGCCCCATCGCCTATCGTACTAACCACACGCAATGTTGTCGACGCACAATTTATTTATTCGTTTTGGCTTTTGGGGCTGTGGGGTTATTGAAACTTGTTGCCTGCTCTTGTTTACATTGCAGATATATATCTGAGGGGGGAGAGGAGGAGGATCTGTGGATGGGAATACATAGTAATATACACAGATATCCGATGTGGGCCACACGCGGCCGGCGCGTTTCGGACTTTGGTACGAGTATCATCATCATCCTCTCTCCCATTCACAGACCATTTCTATATATCTCACCGATCTATTCTCAGCTGGTTGGTCTGCAGACTTGTTTGCCAAATGCTATTTCTCTCAGAATGTCTCTTATTTTCTTAACTTCTCCTTAGCTGGAAGTCTAAATATTTACTTTGACTTCAGGGCAGAGTCTGGGAGTTCTGGTGCCTGGAACAGGGTGTCTCTTAACTCCCCAATACCCATTATCTCAAATTAATTCGATGAAATGTCACAGCAACTTGTAAATACCATTCAACACGTGATCAATAATACCTCAGGAATTTATGTTCGCAACGTATCTATATATCTAATATAGATAAGCTATATATGTATCCGCTTAGCTGGCATTATTCTGGCCAGAGTACACTGAAAATAGCATTCTATTATGACGCATTTGGGAAAGTTATGCAAGGAGACCGGCGGAAATGAGAGGAATTGTGAAAAGGAAATAATTGACGATAGTAGATAGTGCAGTTAGACTAAAAATAATACAAAAGATTAAATTTGTATACCCTTGCAGAGGGTATTATAATTTTGGTCTAATATGGACAAAAAATCTAAAAAATATTTTATCTCAAGATTTTGATGCAGAATGATGGAAAATCGATATAGAAATCGTTTAAGGTACTCCGCTTGAGAATCGGATGAGAATTTGTGAAGATATAGCCATCGCAGTGGACCCTATAGGGAAAAAACCCATTTTCAAGGGATCCCATCACGAAAAATGGACAAAAAATCTAAAAAATATTTTGTCTCGGGGTTTTGATGCAGAATGGTGGCAAATCGATATAGAAATCGTTTAAGGTACTCCGCTTGAGAATCGGATGAGAATTGGTGAAGATATAGCCATCGCAGTGAACCCTATAGAGAAAAACCCCATTTTCAAGGGATCCCATCACGAAAAATGGACAAAACTGAACTATTGGAAATGATGCTACTTTTGTGTTTTTGAAGATGGAAAGTTATTTGTTTAGTTTATTATGGGTCGTACCTTGTACCTACCAAATTTCATAAAAATCGGTCGTGCTGCCATATAACTAAACAATCGGAAAATGTATGTATTAGGTTAAACTACCAACTTTAGTATATTTTGAAGATAGAGCTTGGGACTTTGCGATAAATATCCAATTTTAACCGCAAGAGTATATAAATTCGGCTCCGCATTACTTTTCTTTCTTGTTATACCCTTGCAGAGGGTATTATAATTTTGTCCAAAAGTGTGCAACGCAGTGAAGGAGACATCTCCGACCCTATAAAGTATATATATTCTTGATCAGGATCACCTCCTGAGTTGATATGAGCATGTCCGTCTGTCCGTCTGTCCGTCTGTCCGTCTGTCTGTCTGTCTGTCCGTTTCTACGCGAACTAGTCTCTCAGTTTTAAAGCTATCGACTTGAAACTTTGCACACACCCTTCTTTCCTTTGCACGCAGTATATAAGTCGGAACGACCGGGATCGGTCGACTATATCCTATAGCTGCCGTATAACTGATTGATCGGAAATGGTATAACTTTGGTGTTTTTAAAGTTAGAAAGTTCTAATTTAACATGAGAGCTATTTTTGGCAAAACAATACGACGTGCCAAATTTCATAAGGATCGGCCGACTATATCCTATAGCTGTCATATAACTGAACGATCGGAAATGACCCAACTTTCGTGTTTTTGAAGATAGAATGCTGGAATTCCATACAGATTCTATTTTTGGTCAGTTGATCCAACCTACCAAATTTCATAAGGATCGGCCGACTATATCTTATAGCTGCCATATAACTGAACGATCAGAAATGGTATTTGGTGTTTAGTAAAAATAACAACTTTGTTTTTTTTGACGATAGAAGCTTGGGACTTTTTTTTAGATTTTGTAATTTAATTAATTGGTTTTATTATAATGTAATCATAAGGATCGGCCAACTAAATCCGATGTTTGCGATATATATCCGGTTTTAACTGCAAGGGTATATCAACTTCGGCTCCGCCCGAAGTTAGCTTTCCTTTCTTGTTTTATCATAATATTTTCTTAAAAATTTGCACAAGCTCTAATTTTTTTTATTTATTTTCTAAATACAAATTCTAGCACTTTATCTTTTCTGCAAAATATACAAAATGCTTCTAACCCATTGCCACTAGAGATATACGAAAAGATATGCCTTTTATTCAAGTCATGATTATGGAGTTTTATTGCGATCGTAAAAGTTACCGAAATTTGCTCTTTCTTATTGCGACTTAACGGAGTGGATGGGTCAAAACTTTTCCACTGAACATCGGACACTCGAACCAGATGGAATCTTAGTCCGCTGGTGGTCCATTGTCTGATCTATAATACCTATATATAGTACGTCACAATTTCGCATTTCACAAGTCACAACAAGAGCCTTATCGGTCCGGGATTGTATTACGCATGCAGCCAGAAATCGAACATGTGGGTATTTATAGCCCATTCCTCTCAATCACGCATGCAAATCGTGAAAAACGCCTTGCTCCCCAATGGAACGGAATGCCAGAAGGCTCTAGGGAGCTTCTGAATCCGAAAACCACCTTATAACCTACACCCCCAACTCCTCAAAAAACATAAAAAAGGTTCAGTGGGCCACTAGACTCCCGTGTTTGGGTCGTGAATGAATCTCTGGTCTTATCTGGGCTGTAGAATCGCCGGGGGGTTGGTGGTGGCGGTGGCGGCGGTGCCAAAAGTTTATTAACTTATTAATAAAAAAGTAAAGAAACGACCCAGACACTCGCCCGGCACATGTTAGACGCCTGATTCGAAAAAAACATGAAATTCGCATGTTGAAGATCGAAGGAAATAATTCCCATTAAATAATTTAAGAGTCTATTTTAAATTAGTTTCTTATCAAATAGGTTTTATGAGGGTTTCTAACTATAGTGAACAGTTTCATATAATATATTTAATATATTATTTTAATCTTCAAACTACCGAGTAAAAAACGAGTATACCCATTCCCCAGCAATAGAGAATCTATCTTATCGGTTGACAAAATTTCGGCACTTATCTGCGAGGTGCAGCCGGGGGAACCGGTTCCGATCCCCGCCGAATACCACACCTCCGGATCCTCTTGAGACTGCTAGAATGTGTCACCCGAAGATTGCGATGTGACGTGGTAGCCCCCGGCCGGCCGGCCAGATAATTCCGATCGCTCTCTGGGACTTTGAACCAAAACCAGCCTATGGGTATATTTCATTCGTCTGTGGGGCACAATAGAAAGTCTCCCCTCCGATAAGCTAGGGGGCAATCGAACCCATGAACTTGGCAATTGGAATCTAATACATAGTACCCCTTTGCATCTTATCAGGCCTCACCTTTTTTGATTGATTACTTTATTTCGGCCTAATTAAATGAATTCCACTATATTGTGGCTATTTTAGGCTACAAATAAAACGAGCTGCTAACTTTAATTAAATGCCAAACGCAATGGAAAATTTTGGAAAAAGAAAAAGAAAATGAGACCAGCATGATCATCTAATGGAGATTCTATTTATAAAGGAGCTCATAAACAGCAAAATGTATCTCAAAGATACATATTTTTGAATGCATTTCGGTGGTCAAAAGTTGAAAGACCCCATAGAGAGATATGTAAATTGATGATCGGATCTGTCAAGATCCTGAGATCTGAAGCTAAAATTATAATCCTAAAAAAACCTGTGCCTTTTACTAAAATATTCAAGAAAAACAGAATTTAATTTTGTTGTTTATTCGACATTTTTGAAATTGTTATTGCTCAATTTTATTGCAAGTATTTTGTTTTTGTTATTTAAAGCAATTGTGACGCCGTTTAATAGTTATAGACCCCGTACATATATAGAAATTATTCCACAGTTTGATAACGTTTAACGATTCCAAATCACAATTGTTCCTATTCCGATAAAACAATGTAAATATGGGGCGATTTTTTTTTTGCTGGAATCTCAAGGTTGAACCTCTGGATGCAACAACGATTGTTCAACCAGACTGTCAATCAATTGAATGATCGATCGATTGAGCGATCGTTTGTTGAAATGTCTATTTAAGGAACAATTTAGAAAACCCATTCAGGCAAAGAGGCTCTCAGTGGTGTTACGTAAATCAAGTCCAACTCTTGACAGATAAAGATTGACAATAAAATTACCTAATAAATTAAATATTAATTTTTTTTTATTTATGAAATTCTAAGGTGGAACTTTTGCATAAATGACACTGTAAATATTTTTTCTGATAAGCTGAAATTGCATTACATGATATTGATATTGATTCAGAATCAGAATCGGGAATCAGTATCAGGCGTCCGATTGCGTCGCCACCACCGAGAGGGCCGAGGAAGATAACTTTCCATATAGGCGCCCCATAGCTCCCCATAGAGCGAGAGTATCGCTGGGGAAAAGAGAGAGACCTGAGCGAGCACAAGCTGGCGGGGATTGAGTGCGATCTTTGGGGGGTTCTAGGTGCTGGGCAGCTCCACTGGCGCTCATTCGCTTGCGAGCAGCCGTCAGTGTCGCGTGTGCCAACAGCGAGAAAAGAAATTGCAGAAAAATATCTGCCAGTGTAGACAAGTACGTGTGTGTGGGTGTGTGTGTAAAAATAGTGCAAATACGCCAGCGACACAAAATAACTGAATATCGTGCAAAAAATCATTTTCAAGTGCAATCCAAAAAGATTTAAATTTTAAAATAAAATTTTTTAATTTTTTTACAGAAAGCAACAAATAAAAAAACTGTATCAAGTGTGCTAATTAAAGCTGAAAAAGTACTGTTATTCGGTTAACTGTGAAACTGTAAACGGTGTGAACACGCAAATCTCAAAGCCATAAACTAAAAACCAGAAACTAGAAACTAGAAACTAGAAACCGAGTGAAAATCAAATTAGATCGCGAGAGACTTTCAGCAAGTGCAACGGTAACAACATATAATGGCACCAACAATCACTGACAATTGCGAATTTGAATGTGCAACTGCAACTGTTGAGGCAACAACAACTTCGATTAGCGGCGATTTCGATTTTGAAAATTCTGCGGCAGCCATCATCGGCAGTGACAGCGGCAACGGCAGCAACTTCGAATCGAATGAATTGCATTTGAACGGCCAGCAGGATCATCAGGATCAGAATGTCCAGCAGGATGAGGAGCAGGGACAGCAGCAGAAGCAGATGCCATGGGAGGCACCTGGTAAACAGGGACTGTACGATCCCCAGAACGAGCACGAGGCCTGTGGTGTCGGTTTCATCGTGGCCATCGATGGAAAGCGCTCTCACAAGGTAAAGATCCTTTTCTTAAACAAGGATATCAAAATCCTTCATTTTTTTTAAATATTTTTAAGCCAAAATTTCTGCCAGAAATGTCCTTAAATTTTCAAAAATTTTAGATATTTCTGTTTTTAAAAAACTTTTAAGATGCAACAAAGCCTTTAAATTTTTAATTTTTGTTGCTGAAACTTAATTTAATAGAACCCCTTTTTAACAACCTCTATCTATCCAATCTCCTCCAGATTCTACGTGATGCCCAGACCCTCTCAGAACGGATGAATCATCGCGGTGCCTGTGCCTGCGACAATGACACTGGTGATGGTGCTGGCGTTTTGGCTTCCATTCCTCACGGACTCTATGCCAAGGCCCTGTAAGTTCCACCTAAAAAAACTACTATATATTTATGTGTGTATTTTTTATATATAGTGTAAACAAAATATATATATGCTTATATATGCCGGTTCCTCTGGCGCCGTAGCCATTTACACGGGATCTGTCTAGGGGGGGGAAGAGACCTGACATCGGAACGATATCGGGGCGATCTCGTGCGCGAAATACGAAAATAACTCAAAGCTGCTGCTGTGTCGTTTGTCGCTGTCTATCAGTTTAAATATACTCTTTTAGAAAAAAAGTTTTCAGATTTTATTAACAAAGTTGCTAAAAATAAATAAAAGCTAGCAGAAATAGTTTTAAATTGGAAATACCTTAGTTAATAAAGGAAGTGTCGAGAAGGAAGCTTAGAATCATAGCAATTAATAGAATATCTTTGGATAGATCCTCTCCAAAGTCCTTGATATTATCTATAGGGAAGTTTAAACTATCTTTAGAACTAAGTTTTGATTAAATAATTTAATTAGTTTATGAAGTAAAACTGATATAATATTCTCAAATAAGCAAACTTGACCTTACCACGCAACCTTCAGTTCCTGAAAACTTATCTCTATTAACCACACTTGAGCATATTATCTAAACAATTTTATTACAGGCAGAAAATATTAGGATAAGACTATTATTTGCACTTTTGCTTAACTAGCATTATTTAATCACACAGTTCAATAGTCAACAGCCTCAATAAAGTATTATGACAGCCCCAGAACACGTAACAATTTCAATTGAGATTTATTGCCAGTTCTCAGCTACTGAATGCAAACAATGTATGAATGACTTTCAATGCACGTGTTAACTTTATAATGATTATTTTTCGAAATTAAAGACCTTATCGGGAAAGAGTATTTCACTCAATGGATCATTTCCCGATGGCTATACATCATTGGACTTAGAATCGCAAAGTACTGTGAAGAGACGTTCGTCTAGCATGTCAAAAATAGTACACTGTTGAGATGAAGCACATCCACAGATCCACCGAGATATATCCCCCAACCACGGTCAGGTACACATAGATATATAGTCTAGTACTTGTCCGTATGTATGTACCTGGGTATTTGCGTACCAACACCGGATCCGACAATTCAACATCTGCTCTCTGCTCCCGTCCAACGATTTCTGTTTTCTGTTTATTTTGTCAGCATTTTGGCACGGTTTTTGTTTTCGTCACGCTTTGACCAGAATCGGTTCATACGTATATTTCTATATAGTATATATATTTAATAGGCTCTACTATAGAGCTCTATGGAGGGAGAAAGTTTCACTTGGATTGGAGGCCATTCAGAGGCAATTACTTTGCGCGAAATATTCCATTCCACAATATAACATAATAATTTAGACAGAGTATCCATTTAACTGGACTATGCCAAATGGAAAAACACGGCAAGGTCTCCTGCCCAGACCCAGTAACCAGATGTGCATAGTAATGAGGTTCTAAGTGAAGAACAATTTGGGAATTTCACCAGTTGGTGCTCGATTTCAAAGAATTAACTGCTAATAGAGCTTCATAAAGCCTTTAGGGTAGGTCAATTATATCACTTAATATTTATAAAAGTCTAGCAATCTAGAGAGATTGTGGTGACCAGTTTAATAAGGTTAACTGATTTAAATCAATGCCAAGCTCAATAACACAGCCTTTCAATCATCGTAAAATAGCTTAAAAAATATATTTAAAAATTTTCAATAGAGCTCTATTGATTTTATGGCCGGGTAGGCCCTTTGAGAGGGCAGTTCCCTAACCCCAGCTAATAAAAATGACACTGCCCAATCGATTTACAACTCGGTGTGCTAATCAATGGCGCGAATTTGCAACTATTTGCTAAGTAATTAGTGGCCCAGCTGTCTAATATATAGTGGGTATATGGAAAAAGTATATGCGATTGATGGATGGATCATTAAATGGCGTAATGTCGCACGACAGACCATAAATCCAGTTCAATTATCATCTAGCCGGGGACTTAATTGATATGTCGGAGAGGGTTTTGGGTATCGGGGGTTATGGGGATTTCGGTCAATGGGTTCTATCGAGAGCTAGGAAATTGTGAAATACTTTGCATGTCCAGGGGAACAAGCTCTAGACACGCACGTGCCGAGCCGGCTTGAGATTGCGATCTGGGAGAGCAACAAGTCGGCGAATGCCAAGTTCAAGGACCCCTCCAAGTCTTGGACTAATTGCGAAATTATGGGAAAGCACTTAGGCGGTTCGAGCACTCAAATCGAGTGGAATACTGCGACGTAATAAGAACAAGCTTCGCTTACAGATCAATCTCAGTAGCACTGCGAGAAAAAATCCAAAAGATAGCTCAGTTTCAGGGTATGGGACTACCAAAGTTTTCTTTTTTATTCTCAGTGCACCAATATGCATGCCAGAATGAGAAAAACAGGTGGCGGTTCGAGGAACGATTCATGCGAATCGTCTGGCCCAGGGGAGTGGAGTGTCGGGCCTGGGAGGTGGATGGGTTTCTGATGGCTGGACCGCTGACAGCTTCTAGAGAGATGCTGATAAGGTGCGACATGCGGCGGACTTGTTTCGTCACTCGCCCTGAATGGATTCTCACTGAATCCGAATCCGAATGGCGCGATGAATGAAATGACTGAAAAAAAAACTGAACCGGGCGCGCCGGATTCAATTGCAACAAATGGAAACCTGACTATGAGCGACTTAATGGCGCATTAAGCTCAAGATTTTATTACGCGGGGGACTTATGGGGTGGGTTGGGTTTGCACCCAACTAATGCGACATTGCTGTGACCCGATGGAGAAAACCAGATATAATCTATACTTTCCAAGATCTTTAAAACATTTGGATTACAAGACTTTCCTTTCTTTGTAAAATTTCAGAGCCAAGCAGGGTGTAACCTTGCCGGAATTGGGTGACTATGCCACGGGCATCTTCTACCTGGATGAGGCGCAGCACGCCGCCGCCGAGAAGGAGTTCGATGCTCTGGCCAAGAGCCTGGGTCTCGATGTGATCGCCTGGCGCACGGTTCCAGCCAACCAGGCGGCCATTGGTGGGGTGGCCCGCAAATCGGAGCCCCTGTCCCGTCAGGTGTTTGTCCGTCGGCCGGCCGGAAGCGACGAAAAGTCCTTCGAACGGCAGGTTTTCGTCCTGCGAAAGAGGGCCAGCCACGAGCTGACCAAGCCAGGCAGGCGCTTCTACATCTGCTCGATGTCCGACCGCACGGTGGTGTACAAGGGTCTGTTCACCTCCGACCAGTTGTGGGAGTATTACACGGACCTCAAGGACCCGGAGTTCGAGACGTACCTGGCCCTGGTCCACACGCGCTTCTCCACCAACACCTTCCCCAGCTGGGAGCGCGCCCATCCTCTGCGAGTCCTGGCCCACAACGGTGAGATCAACACTCTCCGGGGCAACGTGAACCTGATGAAGGCCCGTGAGGGTGTGATGCAGTCCGATCTATTCGGAGATCAGCTGAAGAAGCTCTACCCTGTGGTGGAACCGAATCTCTCCGACTCGGGCAGCTTCGACTGTGTCCTGGAGTTCATCACCATGGCCAGCGAGCGTTCGCTCCCGGAATCAGTGATGACCATGGTGCCGGAGGCGTGGCAGAACGACAAGACCATGCCGCAGGAGAAGCGCGACTTCTACCAGTGGGCCGCCTGTGTGATGGAGCCCTGGGACGGACCGGCCCTGATCAGCTTCACCGACGGCCGATACATCGGTGCCGTGCTGGACCGGAACGGCCTGCGTCCGTCGCGCTTCTATGTCACCAAGGAGAACGTGCTGGTCATGGCCTCCGAGGTGGGAGTGTACGACGTCGACCCCTCGCAGGTGACTCTGAAGAGCCGCTTGAAGCCCGGCCGGATGCTGCTGGTGGACACCAAGGAGCAGAAGCTCATCCAGGACATTGAGCTGAAGTCGCAGATAGCCAAGTCGAGGCCCCATTCCGAGTGGCTGCAGCAGAAGGTGAGTTAACTAGAAGAATGGGTCCAACCTTTAAGCACACTGATCATGCTCACAGCCTCGAATCCCACTAATCATCTCAAGACACAAACAGCTCATCTCCAGACACGAAATTGCGAGAAAAATATTTAAAAAAAACTAATCCTGAAAATTGTATTTGGTCTAAATTATTCCATTCTCTCTCTCACGCTATCCCCTAATCTCAATCTCTGTGTATATGTGTGTTAATTGAGGGACTAATGCAGATGGTGAGTTAACAAAATCCCTAAAGGTTGTCCTAGGTCCTGGCATGGCCCTTGGCCAGCCCCGAGTAGTCCTTTGAGTTGCGTTCCGTTGCCAAGTTTCATTTTGCATGTCCTTTTGGTTGCCTTTGATTCTCCTTCATTGGGCCACTCTCTAATAACCTCTCCCGCTCCCAAACAGATCACTCTGGACGAGATTCGCAATGCGAATGTCCTGAACACTCCTCCCGTGGATGAGCTGGCCAAGCTGCCCGCCTCTCAGCGGGGCATCTTCGATCCAAGGCTCTCGCTCTTCGGCTACACTACGGAAACGGTCAACATGCTACTCATTCCGATGTTCAAGAACAAGTAGGTTATCCTTGACACTATAACCCTTCAGGACTAAACATTTGGACTTACAGGAAGGAAGCCCTGGGCTCCATGGGCAACGATGCCCCATTGGCCTGTCTGTCGACCTTCCAGCCGATCCCGTACGAGTATTTCAAGCAACTGTTCGCCCAGGTGACCAATCCGCCCATCGATCCATTCCGCGAGAAGGTGGTCATGTCGATGCAGTGCCCCATCGGACCGGAGGCCAATATCCTCCAGCCGTCGGCGCAGCAGGTGCACCGCATTTGGCTGCCCAATCCCATACTGAGCATTCCAGACACCCAGCTGCTCAAGCGGAACACGCACCGCGGCTGGAAAACCAAAGTCCTGGACATCACATTCCAGTTCAACGAGGGCGTCCAGGGCTACCTGGACTGCATCGATCGTGTGTGTCGCGAAGGTGCTGCGGCCGCCCAGGCCGGCTACCAGCTCCTGGTGGTCTCCGATCGTGGGGCAGGAACCGGTGGCAAGGTGGCTGTTTCCGCCCTGCTTGCCCTGGGTGCACTGCATCACCACTTGATCGAGACGCTGCAGCGCATGAAGGTCGGTATTGTGGTGGAGACGGCCGAGGCCCGAGAGGTCCATCACATTTGCGTCCTCCTCGGCTACGGAGCGGATGCCATTTGTCCGTATTTGGCCTTCGAACTGGCCCAGGCGCTGAGGGACGACGGCGTCATTGGTCCGGAGGTGAACGACAAGCAGATCTATGCCGCCTACGCCCAGGCCATTGATACAGGCATTGCCAAGGTGATGGCCAAAATGGGCATCAGTACCCTGCAGTCCTACAAGAGCGCCCAGATCTTCGAGGCCGTCGGCTTGGGTACCGAACTGGTCGCCAAGTGCTTCCGCGGCACCCAGAGTCGCATCGGCGGCGTTACCCTGGAAATCCTAGCCAAGGAGGGGCTGGACCGCTACCAGCTGACCTATGGCAAGACCTCGCCGGACACTCGCATCCTGCGGAACCCAGGACAGTACCACTGGCGTCACGGTGGCGAGGCTCACATCAACGAGCCCTCCTCCATTGGCAGTCTGCAGGAAGCGGCGGTCAACAAGAACCTCGACGCTTTCGAGGCCTTCAAGAAGACCACCCTGGACAGCGTGAAGAAGTGCGCCCTGCGTGGCCAGTTGGAGTTCGTGACCGACCGCCAGAAGATTGATATTTCCGAGGTGGAGCCGGCCAGCGAGATTGTCAAGCGGTAGGTTTGATTACCAAACGTTAACTATTATTTTCAAATTGGTTTCCTTTTAAAGATTTGCCACTGGAGCCATGAGCTTTGGCAGCATCTCCCTGGAGGCCCATCAGACTCTATCCATTACCATGAACCGTATTGGCGGCAAGAGCAACACCGGAGAAGGTGGCGAGGACTCCGATCGTTATTTGAGTAAGATATTCCCCTGAAAAGAATAGACCATGTCTAAGTCCATTTCAACCTTTAGATCAGGATCCCAACAACAGCCGTCGTTCGGCCATCAAGCAGGTGGCTTCCGGTCGCTTTGGTGTCACGGCCTCCTACCTGGCCAATGCCGATGATCTGCAGATCAAGATGGCCCAGGGCGCCAAGCCCGGAGAGGGCGGCGAGCTGCCCGGCTACAAGGTCACCAAGGACATTGCCAAGACCCGTAAATCCGTGCCGGGTGTGGGTCTGATTTCGCCACCACCCCATCACGATATCTACTCGATCGAGGACTTGGCTGAGCTGATCTACGATCTGAAGTGCTCGAACCCCAATGCCCGGATCAGTGTCAAGCTGGTGTCCGAAGTGGGTGTTGGTGTTGTGGCTTCCGGAGTGGCCAAGGTGAGTGGCTAGAGAGTTTTAAAAAGGAAGATACTTAGAAGACTCTTTCCAATCTAGGGCAAAGCCGAACACATTGTAATTTCGGGACATGATGGCGGTACTGGAGCCAGCTCATGGACTGGCATTAAGAACGCCGGATTACCGTGGGAGCTGGGTGTGGCCGAAACCCACCAGGTGCTGGTGTTGAACAATCTCCGATCACGGTAAGTTTCCGACCAGGAGAAGCCGCCATATCCGCTCTCTCCTCTTGTTTGTTGTTACTAATCATGAACCGATACATTACTGAAAGTGCCTGGTTATCCAGATGACAGCGTTGGAAAACCTGTTCAGAACATGTATTCCCCAAATAAGCAGAGATCGATCCTCGAGATTGATCATCGGAAAGTTGGGCTGATCCCCCAAAACACAACCCCATTGAAACTCCTCGATACATGTGGCCAGTGGGCAGTGGGCAGGAGGACATTGACAAGGCGGACGAGGAGGGTGAGCAAAGAATCGCAAATGATCCTCCAGAGCACTCAGAACCTCACAACTGATCCTTGAATGTGAAGGAAACTGATCCACCAAGATGGAGACCAATTATGGACTGAAACCAATGGGTGGTGTCCTCGAAAGTGGGCAGATACCGCTCTTCCTGATACCGATTTCCACTGCCAGTCGCTCCGGTCCACTCGCTCTACTCCACTCCACTCAACTCCACTCACTCGCTCACTCGATCACGATCCACGTCGCGCTGTGCTCCATTCGTAATTTCTTCTCATTACATTAATTTTTGCTCCAAGTTGGGTTTGCTAACATTGCCTTCCTTTCTATGTCGTGTCTTCCCACTCTAATCGGTCTGGAAATGGATCTGCTACCGCTACTGATCGGGATTGGTCTGGATTTCCTATTTGATTCCCCTTCATCTTTACCAGAGTGATTGTCCAAGCCGATGGACAGCTGCGTACAGGATTCGATGTGGTGGTCGCTGCTCTGCTGGGTGCCGATGAGTTTGGATTCAGTACAGCTCCTCTTATTGTGATGGGTAGGTTATATTTCAAGGATCTTAGTTGTAGTATTGATTACCTTCTCTTCCAGGCTGCACCATGATGCGCAAGTGTCACCTGAACACTTGTCCAGTGGGCATTGCCACCCAGGATCCAGTGCTGCGCAAGAAGTTCACTGGCAAACCGGAGCATGTCATCAACTTCTTCTTCATGTTGGCGGAGGACGTATGTTTCTATTCAATTTTTCCCCTTCATCCATGTCTAACACACTCCTCTACCCATGTCCTTTAGATCCGTAAAATCATGGCTGGCTTGGGCATCCGCAAGTTCCAGGATCTCATTGGTCGCACCGACTTCCTTCGCATTGCCAGCCAACGCGAGGCCAAGGCCAGCAACCTGGACCTGAAGCTGCTCCTGCAGCCGGCTTTAGAGCTCCGCCCTGGAACCAACATCGTTGGTGGCTCCGTCAAGCAGGACTTCCAGTTGGAGAAGCGTTCCGACAACCAACTTATCGCCAAGGCTCAGCAAATCTTCAGCGGAGCCGACGACAACGTTACCGTCAAGATGCGCATCCACAACGAGGAGAGGGCCTTTGGATCCACCCTGAGCTACCACATTGCATGGTGGGTTTTAATGTAATTTTCACCCAATAGTTCCTAGATGGATTATCCTTTTTTTTTGCAGCAAATATGGAGAAGCTGGTCTGCCCTCGGGCAAAAGCATCGACATCTTCCTGGAGGGCTCCGCCGGCCAGAGCTTCTGCGCCTTCCTGGCCCGTGGCGTGAACGTGACCCTCAAGGGCGATGCCAACGATTATGTCGGCAAGGGCCTGTGCGGAGGCAATGTGGTCATCACTCCCCCGGACACCGCTCCCTTCGAATCGCACCTGAACGTCATTGTGGGCAACGTCTGCCTTTACGGAGCCACCGAGGGAACCGCCTACTTCCGCGGTATTGCCGCCGAGCGCTTCTGCGTGAGGAACTCCGGCGTCACGGCCGTGGTAGAAGGTGTGGGTGACCACGGTTGCGAGTACATGACTGGAGGACTAGTGGTCATCCTGGGTCTGACTGGACGTAACTTTGCCGCCGGCATGTCGGGAGGTATTGCCTATGTCTACGACATCGATGGCTCCTTCAAGCCCAAAGTAAATCCGGAGAGTGTGGAGCTGCTGCCGCTCGAGAGCGACAAGGATGTGCAGCTGGTGAAGACGCTGCTGGCTGACTTTATCGAGAAAACCGGGTCCAAGGTAGCCAAGGAGTTGCTTGCCAACTGGGCCCTGGCCCAGTCCAAGTTCGTCAAGGTCTTCCCTTACGAATACCAAAAGGCTTTGAAGGATCTGGCCGAACAGGAGGCCGTTGAGCAACCGCTGAAGACCTCAGCCATCGAAAATGGAAACGGCAAGCACGAGCCGCACATCAAGGACATCGAAGAGGCCATCCAGGACGTGGCACTGGAGCAGAAGCGTGCCGAGCGAGTGCTGGACAAGACCCGTGGTTTCGTCAAGTACAAGAGGGAGTCGGCTCCCTACCGCGATGCCGGGGACCGTCAGAAGGATTGGGACGAGGTCTACAACTTCCCGCACGTGCGCAAGAACCTAAAGGTCCAGGCCGCTCGCTGCATGGAGTGCGGTGTTCCGTTCTGCCAATCCAACTCCACTGGCTGTCCGCTGGGCAACATCATTCCCAAGTGGAACGACCTCGTCTTCCACGGCGAGTGGCAGGAGGCTCTGCGCCAGCTGCTGCAGACCAATAACTTCCCGGAGTTCACGGGCCGTGTGTGCCCGGCTCCTTGCGAGGGTTCCTGTGTGCTGGGCATTTCCGAACCGGCTGTGACCATCAAGAACATCGAGTGCGCCATCATCGACCATGCCTTCGAGCAGGGCTGGATCAAGCCGGAGATACCCGAGGTGCGCACCGGCAAGCGGGTGGCCATTGTGGGATCCGGTCCCTCCGGCCTTGCTGCCTCCCAGCAGCTGAACCGCGCCGGGCACTTTGTCACGGTCTTCGAGCGCAACGACCGCGTTGGCGGTCTCCTGCAATACGGCATTCCTACGATGAAACTGTCCAAGGAGGTGGTCAAGCGGCGGGTGGACCTCATGGCGGACGAGGGCATTGAGTTCCGCACAAACGTACATGTGGGCAAGGACCTTAAGGCGGAGCAGCTGCTGAACGAGTAAGTACATCAAGGATTCTCGGGTGAAGTCTTGACTAACTTTGAAAACTTCCTTTCAGATATGATGCCGTCTTGCTGACCACTGGATCCACCTGGCCGCGTGACTTGCCATTGGCGAACCGCGATCTCAAGGGCATCCACTTCGCCATGGAGTTCCTCGAGGCCCAGCAGAAGAAGCAGCTGGGCGGCAAGCAGGACATCATCTCGGCGGCGGGCAAGGATGTGATCATAATCGGAGGCGGCGACACTGGCTGCGATTGCATTGCCACCTCGCTGCGTCAGGGCGCCAAGAGCATCACTACCTTTGAGATTCTCCCAGAACCGCCACAGAAGCGCGCCGAGGACAATCCATGGCCCCAGTGGCCAAAGGTCTTCCGCGTCGATTATGGCCACGAGGAGGTGAAACTGAAGTGGGGAAAGGACCCTCGCCAGTACTGCACCACCACCAAGGAGTTCATCGGCGAGAACGGCACCATTAAGGGCGTCAACACCGTTGAGGTGGAGTGGACCAAGACGGAGACGGGTCAGTGGCGTATGCAGGAAGTGGCTGGTTCCGAGAAATACTTCCCTGCCGATCTGATCCTGCTGGCCATGGGCTTCCTGGGACCCGAGAAGACAGTGCCCGGCGAGCTCGGCCTGGATCTTGATCCGCGCGGAAACATCAAGGCCTGCAACGGACAGTATGGCACCTCGAACTCCAAGGTCTTCGCGGCAGGAGGTAAGTTTTGGGATAATCGTTATCCTTTCAGGATCTTCTCTGATTCTCTATGGTTATCCTTTGCTTTCAGATTGCCGGCGTGGCCAGTCGCTGGTCGTCTGGGCCATAACCGAAGGTCGTCAGGCTGCCCGCCAGGTGGACTCCTATCTGACCGGCCGACCCAGTGGGCTACCAGGACCCGGCGGTGTTGTCGGGACATCCTAAGCTGGATAGCCGATAAACCCGAGCAGCTATTATCAAGTTTTGTGTGCGTGCATCGTCCTTAGCCCATAGAGCGAACTTCTTTACCGATTTGCAATTTTGTGATTTTTATTTTCGCGATTTTAGTTTAGTTTACACTAAAAAAAAAAGACTTGAGTTTTTTTTTACACACCAAACCAAAAAAATAACGAAACACCTTTCATTTAGTTTTATTTTCATCGCAAGGCTGGGAATTAAAGTTTGTTTTCTATTTTTTTTTGGTTTCATCGGTGAGTCGAAATGCCCTCCATAGGATGATGCTGCGGCAGAAGTCAATTAAGAGTGCAAAAAAGTGCTGATGGCAGCCAATCGAATACTTCTATATACATGAACTTATATCTTTAAAGAATTTGAATATCCAACCAAGAAAAATCTAAGGACAATAACTAGAAATTTACCGTTATCGTTAAAGCGAAAAAAAATTAAAAATTAATTAACTGAACATACATATTTAGAGAATGCTTATTTTCAATGTTGTTCGACTTGTGTTGCCTGTTCTCTGAATACAAAATATATTATTATGTGAAAATTGGTATGCTGATCTCCACCTCCTATATAGTAATATATACGATATAGCGTATATGGACAGACAAATGTATTACACTCGGCCAATATCGAACCGCATTTTTTTAGATGTTGTTTGTGTGTTTTTAACTGCATTCGACCGTTAATCGCAGAAGTACCTAAGTGGCTAATTGTTAAAAATCGAAATGTGCTCTTCGGACGTTATATGTATGAAAAATACAACTATTTATACAAATGAAATATTTAACCCAACTGTATACCCTTATACATACTTCTATATATGAATATATTTATGTGCAAGTATTTGATGAAATAAATATTCAAAATTAACAAAATTGTTTTGTATTTTATGTAAAACCCGCAGATTAAAATAAGTTCTAAATGGACAGTATTTGATGGTTACAATTTAAGCATACTGCATACATACTTTCGTCACCTACGTAAAAAGTGATGTTAAAAAAAACAAACAGATTTTATACTAAAAAAAAAAATTAGGGGATGTTATTGGATCAAAAATTCAAAAGATTCAATACTGAAATTCACAATAGACCTATTTAGTTTTAAAAATTAGTTAAACAAGCTTTTTTTATTGTTAACCATAATTTATAATTTGGATTTTATTTTCGACCATTTTTGACATTCGGCAACATTTTGCAGTCAAATAATACAAATTAAAGCAAGGTAAAAATAATATAAGTTAAAACAAATTGTAGTTTTTAAATTTTAAGCTTTTTAACTGGTTTTTAGCCAAATTTAGTGTGGCTGCACTCTAGGAAAACTATTTTTGGTGTACCCACAAACGCAAAACCCGGCCACACCCTTTTCGCCTCTGGGCACATTGTTCGCCTTTCGCACGCTTTTTTTACAGCGATTTTGCGTGTAAATTTCATCGTTAAAACGTAGAAAAACAGCAGAAACCATGGCGCAGTTCGACCTGACACGCATCAACTGTCAATATCTGGACAGGCATCTCACTTTCCCGCTGCTGGAGTTCTTGTGCGGCAAGGAGGTTAGAAAATTTGCAAGGCGGTGCTCCGCCAGTTGTCGTGTCACCAGATAGTACAATGTATATGTTTTTTCCGGTTCCTTGCAGATCTACAACCAACAGGAGCTGCTGGAGTACATCCTGGAGACGGTGAACAAGACCAACATGATTGATTACACCATGGATACGAGGAAGCGTCTCAATCTCAGCCAGGAGATGCCCGAGGAGCTGGTGCAGCGCAAGGCGGAGGTCCTGGCCACACTGAAGCAGCTCCAAAACGAAGTGGCACCCATCATGAAGGCCACCGACATCCTCAAAAACGGCGAGAGCATGAAGGACTCCAAGACTTTCGTCAATGCCCTGCAAAAGGATTACAACTTCAAGGTGGAGCATCTGGAGAGCGCCTACAAGTTGGCCAAGTATCTGTACGAGTGCGGCAACTACCAAGAATCCACTTCCTACCTCTACTTCTGCCTGATTGTCATGTCGCCCAACGACAAGGTGAGTAGACACTTCCATTATAGATGGGCTTTCAATTCATTGATTTCTCGAATCCCTGCAGAACTACCTGAACGTATTGTGGGGTAAGCTCGCTGCTGAAATCCTGACCCTTAACTGGAACACCGCTCTGGAGGATCTGACGCGCCTGCGTGACTACATCGACAGCGCCAACTTTAGCACAATTCAGGCCCTGCAGCAGCGCACCTGGCTTATCCACTGGTCCGTGCTGGTGTTCTTCAATCACCCCAAGGGACGCGACCTCATCATCGAGATGTTCCTGTACAAGCCCCTGTACTTGAATGCCATCCAGACCATGTGCCCACACATTATGCGCTACCTGGCCACCGCCGTGGTGATCAACCGCACGCGTCGCAATGCTCTGAAGGATCTGATCAAGGTGATCCAGCAGGAGTCCTACACTTACCGTGACCCCATCACCGAATTCCTGGAGTGCCTGTACGTCAACTTTGACTTTGAAGGCGCGCGTCTGAAGCTGCATGAGTGCCAGACCGTGATCCTGAACGACTTCTTCATCGTTGCCTGCTTGAACGAATTCGTGGAGGATGCCCGTTTGATGATCTTCGAGACCTTCTGCCGCATCCACCAGTGCATCACCATCAGTATGCTGGCTGACAAGCTGAACATGAAGCCCAATGAGGCCGAGTGCTGGATCGTCAATCTGATCCGTAATGCCCGTCTAAACGCCAAGATTGATTCGAAACTGGGTCATGTGGTGATGGGAACGCAGCCACTGAGTCCTTACCAGCAGCTGGTGGAGAAGATCGACTCGTTGTCGATGCGGTCGGAGCATTTAGCCGGTTTGATTGAGCGCAAGAGCAAGCAGAAGAACCAGGAATCGATCGACTCTTGGAAATACTACTAGGCGTTTGTCTGGCCCTCTATCCACACCACTAAATTAAGACACTTTGTACCCACATTCAATACCCGATGATTGCGCGCAATCGAGCGAATAAACCAACACCACTGTTCGCTCTATTCAACATTTAATTTTATTTCCATTGGAATCGATTTAAGTTGTGTGTTATACGAAAAACAATACAAGGCGGGAATTTTCAATTTCGCTAGCCTACAGAATGCAAACGTCCTCTTCCTAGTCCTAAAACTAGCTGCTTGTACCTACGAATTGGTGCTGGATTTGGATCTGACTCCTAATCACACGATTGATTGCTACCTCAACTTCTTCTTCACTACCAGCCAGGAACGCACTGGGAGATCCTGAAGGTGGACGATCCACTTCCGGGCGATAAGCAGCCACAATATGCCGTACACCACGCAGATGGCAGACTCCAGGTAATAGCCATCGAAGGCGATCTCGCACTTGCCCTCCGATGCTTCACAGCTCTGAAAGATGGAACGATATATATAAGGAATAGAAGAAGTACCATATTCAACTCACCTGCTGCTGCTCCTTCCCGAGACATTCGTTGGCAGGGTTGGTGGAGCATTGCTTCCAGGTTAGAACGTCGACCAACCACAGTATCACTGTGTTGGGCCAATTTCCACCCAGATTGCACAGAGTATTGAGGAAAGTCATGTATGTGCCTCCCACAGCGGGGTCCGAGATCTTGGCAAAGAAGGCCATGGCAGCCACGAACATGGAGTAGAGGAACACCTGGTAGATCGCATAGCTGGTGACCAACAAAACGTAGTAATAGATTGGGGGAGATCCTCCCTTGATAATGTACGGTGTGGCATAGGCGAAGAGAGTGGCCACCGAGGCCATGATAATGCGGTAGGGTATAGCTTTCAGGTAAACGTCCATGGGACGCGGTCCGTTGGTATAACGTCCCACCGCCAGCGGCAGGATGAGCTGCAGGGGAATCAGAGGTATGGCCAGCAATGCCAGCTTGTCCTTAGGCACTCCGGCGTCAATTAATTTTAGACTCGTTACCGCATCCGAAGCGGCAAAGGTTACTTTCACAGTCAGCAGGATAACAGCCAATATTTGAACGGGACGCTTGCGTACCATGTCCCACAGGATCTTGTAGCTCTGGTGGATGTTCAGCTCGTGCTCCTCTGTGTAGCGGGCATCCATGTGGGCATCCTCAATGTCGTTTTCTTTTTTGAAAACGGCAACCAATGTGGTGGCCACTATGAAGGTGATGCCCCAGAACCAGAGGAAACGAGGCAGCGTGATCATGCTCTCTTCCAGCGGCGAGTCCCTGAGGTAGGTGTTGCAGAAGTCCTTGGACTCCAGGGCAATGAACACTACGTAGCCCAGGAAGTAGCCAGCGGTCTGTCCGACACTATTGCAGGTGGAAGCGTAGCCCACATTGCATCGCTTCAGCATGGTCAACGCCCAGCCATCTACGGCAATGTCCTGGGTGGCGGCCAGGAAGTTAAGCAGGAAGAAGAGTAGCGTTAGAAGTGGCACATTCGGTTCCACGCCGTTCCCGCCGAGCCATTGATCCACATGCAGGGAGAGCAGCAACATGAAGGCACCCAACAAGTACTGCACCGGCACCAGCCAGGATTTCCTGCGGCCAAATCGTCGGATGTACAGGGAGTCCACGATGGGAGCCCAGAGAAGCTTTAAACTAAATGGCCAGTAGGCAAAGGAGAACTCTGCCTGCTGCTTGTAACTGGCTCCCCTGTTCTGCAGGAGCATGGGAATAGCGGCAATCAGGCCAATGGGTATACCCTGCAGTATATACAGAAACAGAAGTATGGCTATGTTTTGTCTGTCCCCCCGGATGTCTGGTTTTGGTTCATCTTTATGCAGAACTTCGGCTCTGGAGGACTCCTCAACCAGCAACTCGCGATCCCCATCGCTTCCTTCCTTCTTCCTCCGAATCGCCGACATTCTGAAGTCCTGTAAAGAGCTAATTATGAAATACACCTGCCACTTAATAAGGCCACCGCTCTCACCTGTTCCCCTAATCACCAAACGAAAAAAAAACAAACTAGGTCCACGTCACTCAATTCTTAAGCTTTTTTGTGAAATTCCCTAAAATTTTCGTTGTTGCTTTTAATTTTGAGGGGGTTACAGTGCCAGTCTTACATAAATCGAATCTGATTTTAGTTTAATTAAATCATTTTTGCCAGCTCAAGTTTTTTAGGCCGTGGCATATGTTTGTTGACGTTCCAAAATATTTATTGCAGCGGAATTGATAACACAATGCAGATGCAGCCACACTGATTTATCGAAATTCAAATCGATGGCGGGAGAAAAGCTCAAACCACTTGGGCTTTTCTTTTTAAATGCTTTGATTTAAATTAAAAAATGTTGTGAGGGGGGATAAAATATTTATTGATTTATACAGAATTTTACATTAAAAAAAAATACATATATACAATTATTTTTTGCGCAAGAAAAAATGGGTTAATATTCCATTGGGAGCACAAGCGTGATATTGCTATTTTTGGCAAAAATCTCCCTTGAAACAAGCCAGGCAGAAATATATGCGTGGTATATACACACGAGCCGCTCCAACTGCTTGGGTTGACTTTCCCAGTCCCGATAAGATACAAATGTATTTTTTTTTTTGCGTAACTGGAACACAAAGTACAGTGTAGGCCATGAAATCAGTACTTTAAAATCTTTTAAAAACTCAGATATCAGCTGGACGTGGAAGATTGGCAATAACAATATGTTGAGCAAACCAATTTAATGTTCATTAAACTCGATGGACCTATAAATTTGTCAAAAATTGTACTTACACAATAAAGACCCATCAAAATGCAGATATTCAAGGAAATCCCAGCATTTCCCACAAAAAAAAACACCGACACAATTGTTTTGCAGCTTTTGTTTTAATAATAAAGTGAATTACTGAGAGCATTTTGCTTACTTGCTTGGCGAACACATTCATATGTTTCGTTATAATTAAAAGTAATTACTGATACAGGCTCCAGCACCAGGCATCTCGAATAACAATTTCAATTTCCAAATACGTATCATTGTTCTTGTGGTTTTCGTTTTAATTAAAATAAAGACAAAACTGGTTTTTGCTTGCTCTCGCTCCTCTTCTAGAGGGAATATGCAATATTTTGTGACTGGGTTCTGTTCGATTTCTATCGTTAAGCTTAAATTCTAATTAAGGGTTCAATTGAAACTCTTCTGCAGGCTGGATGGAGGAGGGCAGGCTTGTTATTCTGTTTGTTCTGGTCTGGGCTTTCATTTACTTTCATCGTTTCATGGTTTACTGTTCAACTCTCTGTTTGTTTTTCATTTCGCTCATCTGGTGTGGCGTGCTCCAGCTCAATTAAATTTCGTGGAAGGCCGTTTAGCTTTTAACCGTGTTCTTCGCTTCCTGCCTACCGCTTTACTTGGCCGGCGATGATCCAAAGACCGGCTCCTCCCATTTGTGGTGCACCTCAGGCGTCAGGTTGCTAATCTGCACGTGCACCGCCTGGTGCTTCTCGTACTTGGGTGGAATGGCGCACAGACGGTATTTGACCTCATCCCCTGGCATGGGCACGTATTCTCCTTCGATGCTGTGAGGCGAAATCATATTTTTTATAAATTTAACTTAAGAGCCCCAAAGGTCGTATGCATTATTCATCACTTACTCGGAAACATGACAGAAAACGTCCTCGCCACCGGCGCTGGGTGTAATAAAGCCGTGTCCTTTGGTGCGGCTGAAGGATTTCACCACGCCGGTCACCATGGGGTTTTCCATTGCCCGAGCGGAGCTAATTTTTGTGAATTTCGTTTTTTTTTTTTGTTTTTTGGCGTTTGCGCGTGTTTTGGTTTAGCCAGAAATTTTATGAAGGGAATGGGAAGGTGCAGGAAGAAACAATTAAATCAATGTTAGATGGAGGAACATGGGCAAAGGCATAAAATCGTTTTGGGTGCTTATATTACAGGGACTTTAAGGAGCAATAAAAATTTAATTAATTATCATTAACCCAATTTGTAATAGACTGAATCAAGGACATAAATGGACATCAGATTATGCTCCTCTTATCCTTCATAGACCCCTTTTCAAACTACCACTGGCAAAGGGCCTAAATCGTTAGGTTCCGGGGCCAAAACCCTGGCGAGGATGGGGGGAGGTATAATTGGGGGCGGTAGGAGGACTTACGTCGAGGCCGTGCGTGTGCGCCGCGTTATGATGGGACTGGGTAGCTGCAGCGAGGCGTTCGGGCTGTGGCTATTGTGATGGAAGACCGGCGGCTTGGCGGTCAGCAGCTTCTCGGGCGTCCTTGGCTCGGCCATGGCTATTTTCTCTCTCTTTTCCCTTCCTCTCCTGGCACCAGTTAGTAGAAGCGGCTCTGCGCGTGTGTGCGTGTGGCGGCGTACAAATGACTGTGTGTGGGTGAGTGGACGGCAGCCAAGTCTGTTGAGTTCAAGGCCAAGGGAAGGGGGCATGTTGGGTTAGTCAGCCAGCAAATTGCGATGCGCTAATTTAGCTTTTTCAATGTAGCTTACCACGCAATTTCTCCCACTTCAATTAACACCTTTCGGATGATTTACCACTGGAACTTGAGCTTCCTGGGTCGGCTTTCACGCTTTCTCTCTCGCTCCTTGACACCCACACTGATGCAATCTTTAAACGGAAGGAGAAATGCCGGTCGGTCGCCTTGTTTTTATATAATTAACAACTTGATGGCTTTGAACTTTTTTCACAATAGAGCATTGGCTTTTACAACCTATTCGATAGAATGGTTTTACAAGTTTTCTGCGCGCTTTTAAAGGATTTAACTTTTTCAACGAATGGCGGCTGCGAAGGCGTCAAGACATTCAGAGTGACCGTTTCGATTTGGCCGAAAAAAGTACAAAGTTATCGGAGCAGAGCCAAACATCGATAGTTAGAATAATTCAACCTCAAGAAAATAACTTATAAAGGAATTAAATACAAATCAATAAATAAAACCATTTTTCTGCAAAACCATTTTAAACTAATTTTAAGTGTTACATTTAATATATTTATCGAATCTCAAACATCTGGCTACATTCGATCTTATTACTACTCACGACAATCACTAAGGCACATCTCTAAGAAGTTAAAATTTGAGCGTCTTTCTTTTAAAATTGTTTAAAACCATAATACGTGCGATAAAAAACCCAAGGTACATGTAATCTTTAAGACAATTTGGAACATGAGCGACAGAGGGAGCGCAGAGGTCGATGGAGATGTGGGGGACTCGTCGGACAGCCGTGACTCCGTTCAGCCCGTTGTGCGACATAGAAATAGGCAAAGAATTATCACCCAGGACGAGGCCTATATCACTCCCGCTAACAATGTAACGGACGGTGCTTCCGTTAGCTCCTTATCACCGGAACCCCCCGATTTTTTTGTTGATGAAGAATTGGCGGGATTAGCGCGCCCCTCACGATGGCCAAGAATACTCCTGCCGAACGAACCACCAGAAAATGCCGGAGAAGATGACGGTAGTTTCGTTTTTTCCGTATCACCGGAACCCCGAAGACGTCAATTCAATTTTTCGGTTGATGAAGAACTGGCGAGCTTAGCGCGCCCCACACGGAGGACAACAATGGTCCTGCGGAACCAACTGCGAGAAAATCCCAGAGAAGATGACGCAGCGGACGGTAGTTCAATTGACTCAGCCGAGTCGGTTGGATCTACAGACCAAGGAGGTAGTTCTGACGATATGCAGTTCATCGACCGACTGATATTTGAGGTCAGAGTGGCGAGAGCCTTGAATGAGATGGTACAGCCGCAATATCTAGAACCCTTAGAAGAGCAAAACGCTCTTCCTCCTGTGGAGGAGGACTCAAATGATAATCCCGATATTCAAGAGGTGCCTGACGCCGATTCAAACCCGCAGGAAGAGCCGCAACCTCCAATTGAAGCTCCAGCAGAGCCAAACATAGAAGATGCCGCTTCAAGACCAAGTACTCCGCGCGTTTCCCGCAGAGCTCAAGCACCGGAACCTGAGGTAATCTCGTTAGACTCTCCATCTCCGCCAAAAAAACGCAAGCGCCTGTCTACCGCGAACACAAGCCTGAAAAAGTCACCGGAGAACAAACCCCCCGCAAATCTTGACGATGAGGACGACGGCCTGACCTGTCCCATTTGCTTGGATTCATGGGAAATGAGTGGGGATCATCGATTAGTTTCTCTTCGGTGCGGTCACCTCTTCGGGGAAGCGTGCATTCGTCGATGGCTGAACGAGAGCCAACGCCAGTCCTCTGTTAAAGTGTGCCCCCAGTGCAAAACCAAAGCCAGTTATCGTGATATTCGACATCTGTATGCCAAGCGCATCCAAATGGTGGACACTGAGATAAAGGAGCAGCTGGAAATCGAACGCAGGCGTACACAAACCTTAACAACTGAACTGGCCACCGCCAAGCTGGCTCACACACTCACCTCCGAGAAGCTATTGGCTCTGCAAAGGGATTACGATCGGGTCAAGGAGCTTTTGAGGGCTGGAGGCAGTCGAGGAGCCTTTAGCAGCGATGGAGCCTGTGGTTCCAGTCAGGTGGGCCTAAATCAACTGGCCTCACACCGGCTTTATATGGAGAAGAACTTTGAAATTACCCGGGAACCAGGCTGCCGGGTGTTGCTATATTCCGCCAAGCACTCAATGCTAGTGGCTTCCCAAAAAAGTGCCCAAAACTTGTTCCCCGGCTATGGAGTGCGCTTCATTGACCCGCCAACTTTTAGACCGCTGCACTTTCTACACACCTCGGCTTTGCTGGTCCGGGATATTGCCTTTGGCGAGTCGCAGTACATGCTCACCGTGGCCAGCCGGGAGCCGAAGATCAAACTGTTTGACATCCGCTCACGACTGTGCTCATCCATGTTCACGGCACACGACAAGATGCTGTGGTCCTGTGCTCTGGACAGGAACGAGCGGGAGCACTTCCTGTATGGCGGAGATCTGCGCGGTGGAGTCTATATCTATGATACGCGCTTTCCGGAAACAATACTCAGCGAGTTTCAAGCTGAAGGTAAGAAGGACACGACGAACAAAATTTCAATAAATCCATTGTTTCCCCTTTTTCAGAGAACTTTAGTCCTGTGATACACATTGTTGCGGTGCCACCGAACAAGACTTTTCCCAGTGGTGGCTTCCTGGTCTGCCAGCTCACCGCACTGACCTTCTACGAGTATGAAGCCGCCAGTGAAGCTGCGGTCGCAACCCGGCTCAACGTGGAAGGACCCTTCCTATCAATGCAGTACGATTCCGCACTGGACACGTTGCTGATCTCTGCGAGATCCAACCCCAACGCGCCCCAGTCCCGGTTCATTCTCGGGAAGCTAGCCAAAATGGACAATACCCCAGTGTTGAAAGTGTTGGCCACAGTTTTCGGTTCGAAAGCCACACCAATCATGACACGACCGACCCAGCTGGGCGTTGAGGACAACACCCTGATTGTGGGCTACCTTCAGGACACGAAACAGTTGATGATGCACGATGTGCGACGAGAGGAGCGTGTTCAAACGATGCCTGTGAACGAAGTAATCTACGATATCTGTCCAGTGGCCACCCAGGCGGGATCCTACTTGGCCGCCCTCACCGACAACAAGTGTCGCGTCTACAAGGTCAACAGTTCAAAGCGATGATGCGAGCGCATGTGTGTGTTTTCCATGAAAACACCCAAAGATACTTTTGCTATTTGATTTCTGTGAAATGCTACATCGAGCTTAAGGATAGTTCATATTGTTATAAGTTTTCATATTTTCCATTTATTTTTAAACATCTTGCGTACAAGTTTTCTCTGAACATAAATTTAATGTACTTCATGTTCCGATTTTGATTCTGGATTTCAATTTTGAATGTTTGTCGTAGTCGGTTGTGATTAAGTTTTTGTAAAAAAAAAAACAATAGAAAATGTTGGTTCGATTAATAATATACATATAAAGCTATACAAAAATGTGTTATCCATACAATATCCTTTCTGTGTTTAAATACATATATATGCGCATTTATAGATGCCTCCTAAGTGAAGTTATTTTTTTGTGGGAATGAGCGAATAGATGAATAAATTCATTCCGGACAGTCTCTCGAAATGTTTTCAACATTTTTGTAATATTTGGAAAATTGCTCGTTCTCAAAGCGGCCATCTAACTAAGTCTAAATGAATTCGGTTTACTTCCTGGAGGAGTCCTTCAAGTCTTGAGTATTGTAAAAATTGTATCAAAAAACGTTAAATCGTTGGTCGTTTTGCTGGTTTTGTTTCTATTTTATATGTGGCCTGTGCTCCTACATATAGTTGTATATGGGTTTTATAGCATAGTTATTCGTATAGATTAGTGTTGTCGGGTAGTTGAAAGACGCAGATCTATACTTTTCAAGTATAATTTTGTATATTTTGTTGTGTTTTATTTGTGTTTTTTGTGTCTGTGTGTGATTTGTGTGTATTTATTAAAGTTAAGATTAGCAAATATACGTAATGTCGAGACGTATGGAGTCAGCTTACAGAACTTAAACTTAAACTGCAAGAGAACTAAATGTACAGTAATCCGATAGACATATCTTTATATATATATAAACACTAGATTCACTTAGGCTAAACTAAACTCGAAACGAAGTCGGGGGAAAAACGAAGATCTAGAACTAGCCAACTGAGGATTGGGAAACAGTCGCGATTTTCTCGAAATTTTCCAGAAGAACTTTCTCAAAAGAATATCAAAAGATTGAATGACAAATGCTATGACTCCCAGGACCTTTTTGGATCAGAAAACATCCAGGAGAACATGATTTGAAACACTGAAGTGAACGAGATCTTCAAAAAGGTTATAGTCTGTTAGTTAGACCAATCCTCAGTTGGGTATCGAAGGTTTAAAGATATCTTCAGCGATTGGGTGGCTAGGATTGGGGCTTCCTTAATCGACGCGCGCATATCGCGGCACTATATCCTTGCTGATCCAGTAGTTGCAGGGCTCAAAGTCCTCCTGCGATTGCGCATCCTGGCCCACATTGATGACCCGTCGCTGGGGCTCGAAGGTCTGCACCGTTCCATGGGATACATAGTAGTAGAAGAGCTGTTGCATGGCGGAAACAAAGCGACGCTGCTCCACAGTATGGGGCTCATAGCGTCCCAGAATGGCCTGAACATCGGCGTCCACGGTGGCCAGCTGATCCGGGCCCTCGCCTTGGGTGACCACGTAGAAGGGCACACTCACTTGCAGTCTCGCGTTGGTGAGCAGCGGGCAGACAGTGCGAATATCTGTGATGATGGACACCAGCGACGCATAGCTACTGGCGTTGTAGCGCTCGATCACCTCTTCCGTTAGTCCCATGGCACCGATTTGGGAGTTTGTCAGATAGGCACGCACCTCCTCGCGGGTCCAGTTGGCGTGCAATTCGCGCAGCTTCTCAGTGTGTGCTTCGTGGGCAGTGGCTCCCATAACGAGCCGGGGCTTGTCTGTCGGCTGATCCTTCTTCCACGACTCGGAAGGATGTTGGTAGAGAACATCACCATCGAGCACCAACCACTCGTGTCGCTGACCGCTGGCGTTGAATTCTGGGGGCTGGGGGATGTCGACGGGGAAGTGCAGCCAGGTGTCCGGAGTGGCAGCCCACAGTCGCTCGCTGGAGGCCTCGCGCAGGCAGTCAACATCAGCGCACTCCAAAGTGCCCATCAGCTGCTGGTTGAGATTCTCCGACACGCTCAGAGGCCTTCCGGGCAGGATAGCCGATCCAGATGAGGCCCACGCCCTGGTGTAGAGGTCCTTCACCTTGTTGGAGGTCACCAGGGTAGTAACAAGAGTGGCACCAGCGCGATGACCCAGCAATGTAACCGATTTCGGGTCGCCACCGAAGTTCGCAATGTTCAGCTTGATCCACTTGAGCACGGCAATGATGTCGGTCAGAGCATAGTTTCCGGAAGTGGGGGGACGAGTCTCCTTGGTCAGAGCATCCAGGGCGAGGAAGCCGAAGACACCCAGTCGGAAGTTGGGACGCACAAAGATGACGTCGTGGGAGCGAGAGTAGCGGGCCGATGGACGAAGAATGCCAGGCGACGGTCCGGCCAAGGATTCAGCTCCAATCAGGACCACCACAGGCAGGGGATTGGTGTAACGAACGTGTGGAGTGACCACATCCAGATACAGACAGTCCTCGTCGCCCACAGTAGTTCCGTTGCCCAGTCTCTGTGTGCACACCACGCTGCTGTTGTGGGTCTGCAAGGTATCGTTCCAGCAGCCATCGATGCTGTCCACCAGTTCGGCTGGTCGCCACCTCAAACCGTCTACCGGTGGCTTGGCATAGGGGATTCCACGGAAGGCAAAGGCTCCATCCTCCTTCACGCCCTCGACGGGTCCACAACTAGTCACAGCCACAATGAAGCGTCCCTCGCGCAGAGGAGGCGATGTCAGGGTCTCGTGGGTCAGGACATAGCCAATCACGGCCAGAAGGAGGACAAACAGCAGGATGCCGAAAACAATCAGGGCATCGTCCACACTGCACTTGTAGCCACGCAGGCGGGTCAAAAGGGGTACGGGTCTCTCACGTTCCTCCTCCTCGGCGGCCAGTTTCTGTTCAGCGGCCAGCTTCTCGTCCTTCAGATCGCTTTTGATCTCATCAGTGCCGTTGGTCTTGACCGGAGCACGATCCACAGTGTCCTGATCCTTGAGGGAATCGTCCAGGGTCTCCATGGATGCCAGGCCGGCCTTGCCCAGTCCCAATTCCACATCGTCGTTGTTCTTCTTTTTGGGAATCATGTTGGCAATGGGCAGTTTAATGGCGTTCAGGAGTCCCCTCTTGGGAGGCGCCTCGGCACCATCTTCTGCGGGAGCAGCTTCGGCAGTAGCTTCTAGAAGAAGGACAATGATTAGTAAGAGATCTAGAACCATCTCCGGATTTTCGGAAACTTACCCGACTTGGCATCAGCATCGCCATTGACCAGCTGCTTCTTCTCCTTTTCGGCAGCGGGTTTTCGCACAAAGAAGCTACGAAGACGTTCTCCCAGTCCGGGACGAGGTTTCTGCTCATCTTTTCCCGAGCTGGTGGCGGCATCACCATTGGCCTCCTTGTCCTTGTCCTCCTCCTTCTCTTTTTCGAGCAGCTCACCCTCGGCACCGTCTCCCTCCGCCTTGGGCTTGTTCTTCATGAAGAAGCCGGGCAGCTTGAGACCTCCGATGGGAATCTTCTTGGGCTTGACCTCGCGCTCCTCCTTGCTGATTTTTTTGTCATCACCTTCCGATGGCTTGGTACCATTCTCGGCCGGAATGTCGATGATCTCCTCACCGTTTCCGGGCTTTTGCGATTCACCTTCGATGGCTTTCTTTTCCGCCACCGGAGAGGATTTCTTGCCGGCGTTTGGGGATGCTGGCTTGGAGGTCTGTGGACTGGGACTCTTCTCCTTGGCATCGTCTTCCTTTTTGTCTAGCATTTTGTCGGTTTCCTTGGGCTCGTCCAATGCCTCCTGTTGGCTGGTTGTGGTCTCAGTTGGTGGGGTTTCCTTCTCCTCGAGTTCGCCCATCTTGTAGATAGTTCAAGATCGTTTAGAGAACTCTGTGAGAATTCTACAAATAAAAGAAGAAAAACACTTCCTTAGTATGAAGATTGGGAATTTCAGATGCTTTGCCAAGACAAACCTTGACTTAGTTCAGGGAATAACTATGTTACACTTTGGTTCTTGGTTTTTTTTAGTATTTTTAAGGATCTACGATCTAGGATCTATCACGATCGCTGGCTTAAATGCTTCTAGCTGCCGATGCCTGATGCAAGCGATTTATATACGACTGGGACCTCGAAGGATCTGCAGCTGATCCTGGCAAATGTCAAAGCCGGCTGCTCTGTCCTGCATTGTCCTTGCACAATCACTTAAGGGTTTTCCTTTCTATCTATCTCTTTCTTTGTTGCCTACCTGGCCTGAAAATCCTACCTGGAAAAGCGACCCATTCAGGTAGCACGCGGATATTTGCTCGAATTTCCATCCTGCCATCCTGCCGTATGGAGTTTTTTTTTCGGGGCGGGAAGACCGCAAATTTATAATCGAGACAGCTGCTATATGTGATCCAATCCCCGTTACAGATCCTTTTTAAGGTTTTCTTACAAATTCTTGGTCTTTGGTACGTGCGCCTGGTCACCTTTCTCACATCTCACGTTTTCGAGGGAAAAACACATCTCTTAATTGGCGAAAAACTATAAAATCAACGTGGAAAGCGGCCAAGGACATTTGCCAGGATCAGGATCATTAGCCTGAAACGCCGCTCGCAGCAGGCTACAGTAGCAAATCACGTCCAGGCTAATCGACCGCACCAGAAACAGCTAGAAGTCATGAGAAATTTTTGCTTTCTTTTTTTACAGAGTTTTTAAAATTAACTTTAAGTGACTTTTTTTGAGAAAGAGTAGGACATTATAATTGCATTAGGAAACGGCAGGATACGTGATCATTTAAAGGCCATTTAAGTTGGGAGACTCATTCTTTATAAAGAAGGTTCTCAAAGTTTCTTAAAAAATATTCTTCCTAAAGGAACTCAGATAGTTTCATTTAGTATCAATTTTGATTCAAAATTTTAGCTTCCAGTGTTTGATAATAAAAATGAAGTAAATATTCTAGAATCTAGACTATTCCCCCCTATGGATGCCATATTACAAGTCCATTACTTGTCACGCATGAAAGCCAATAGGGGCGACATGAAATATATGGCAAAGAAAAAAACTATGCCAAGTCGCGACCTCTGTCATGTAAATCAACCGAAATTCCATTATAATGTGAACTTTAAGTTCACATCCCATTGCGTGCCATAATCTGCCGTCATTATCAGTTCATTCCCTAGTTTTTCCCGCTTTCCACCGATTTGGTCAAATGGAAAAGTGTCAGGGCACGAGGAAGACACCAAACGAAACTATAGAAAGATCGAAAACTATAGCAACATGCCCCCGACAATGTTGCGTATCGAAAGTGAAAAGAGTGTCACACATGGCACTAAGAGTGGGCTGGAGTGGGTTGGCTGGCTGGGATGGGGTTGGGGTTGGGGACAGACGAGACGCATTGAAATCCAATTGAATCGGATTTCAGGGCATTAACAGGCCAGGAGGGAAACAGGGGAACCGGAGTGGAGATAAGTTGTCGTCTGGCCGAAGTGTAGACAAGTCATGGGGTCGTCTATATAAGCTTCCTTGTTGTTCTTGACGTACTAGTTGGAATCTATTCTATGTTATGCTGACAGCAGAAGCGGGTCAAAGTAATTACAGTTCACTGGAAATGGAGTATCTGCGGTCACTATCTCCGTTTGTGGATCTGTACAGTGCGTGTCAGGGCTGTAAAATGGGAGCACTAAAAAAATCTTGACAGGTTTTGGTCTTTAAAACGAGAATACGATGCTGCAGAGCTACCGACTAATTAAATCTTTATTTTCATCATAAAACTCTTTATAACTTGCTGATTCCAAGGAACTTTAGGCCTGCCTATAGGCAATATTGAAGTTGTGGTATCATATTTTAATATGATCCTTCTTATGATCCTTCATCACTTACAGCCTAGTTATAAACGATACATTCCTGTCTACGATCATTGTTAATTAGCTGAGAAATGTCTTTAAAATGTCTTTCCCATTGGGGGGTCAAACCAACAAAGTTGACGCACCCATAATGCCATGAAAAGCGTTTGAAAGGAAAAAAAACAGTTCCATGTTGTCAAGTCACGCAGTTTTCCCCACAACCTTCCGGCCTTTTGATTCTTTGCGGCATATGTGTGTTCGGTCTGTAATTTGTCTTGGCTCGTAAATTAAATCAAATTCGAAACTTGCGTTTGACATGCAATTCGGCTTACTTCTCATAGCCAATCTACATGCCCTCCCCCGGCTTTTTATCCATTATCCCCGAAAATTTTATTTTCATTTCATGGTGTTTTTTTTTTTGTTTTACTGCTGGGCAGGGAAATTGCCGTTAAAACATAAAAAAGTTACCACCACTTGTTAAGTAATATGGTAAGAGGACAGGGTACAGTACTACATGGGAGATAAGGTTCCATTTCATAAAGAATTTCTTAAAAAATATCTTGAATAATATTTTGTTTATTTAGTTTTTGTTCAAAACATGAAAATGCTTTTCAAACCATGGTTTCATATCCTACTTATATATTAGAATCTAATATATAATATATATATATATATATTATCTAATATATATCTAATAATTAGATTATCCTGGGACATGGAGCATTACTTTTCCTTCTACTAACTAACCACTAAAAGCCTCCTAGATTGTTGCTTGAGTTCAACTAATAAATTCTACTGAAATATCTCGTATCTGGAAACATGTCAAGAAACACTTTGAAATGCATAAAAATGCAATTGCTTTTGGACCTTTATTGTGGTTATAGGAGGGGCTGAAAAGCTCTTGGGGGAGATAGATAGATAGCTCCCCTGGATATAGACCTCTCCTAAAGCTTGATTCTTCAAAACTAACCTCTAAAAAGGGTATACTTTATTCGAAAGAAAACAGATTTTTAGACAAATAAAAACTTTAAATTTAATTATATTTTTTAAATACCTCTTGTTCCCCTGTTGAAACCCTAAAATAAGAGTTGCAACCATAATTTTTGTTACCAAACTAACGGCAGCCAAGCATGAAACGAAAATCGTCCCAAAAAATGACAAAATACTGGGGGAGATCTCAAAAAAAGGGCTACGAGAGGAAGGGGGAAACAGTAGCCGGAGGAAGGAGTGTGGGAGGCTTAACCGATCTGCGTCCTGTTATTATTTATTACACTTCCTGTGCCCTAACCTCGCACCCACCCAGGTCATCTTTCACCGCTTTTGACTCTAAGCCTGACAGAGGAAGTTTCAGCCACCCCTCGCCAGATGGCGTTGTACACGCTGCGTGCGTGCGAAGAGGTCGTAAGGTGTGAGGAGAGTTGGGGAGGAACACACTATTTTGACATGCACTTTCTAAAGTGTTTGTTGTGCCTGGTGTGTGGGTGCCGTTTATGCCCAATTAAACAGGATATTTGAACAATTTCAGGACACTCGTCGCAAGCGGACATTAAGATCGTCTGATAAAAAATAAGCGAACGCTTAAGCCCGCCACCGCAATTGTAGCTCATAATTACAGGTACGAGGAAATTTGTCTAGACAGTCCCGACAACAACAAAAAAAAACAACAAATGCACATAATTGCAATGCAATTTCGAGGCTCCAGCTCATTTCCCCCGCCTGAGAGTCCTGCAATCAGGGCTTGATTCAATAACCTCAGGCATAATAATTTTTCAATTTGCGCCTCCAATTTCCAGGTGAGGGCCAGGTGAGAGAGACCAAATGAGAAATCGCAAGACTTCTAACGAAGTCAATTTGTCATCCGGACGCCATGCTAATGGACTTCTGGAGGGGATTCTGGCCAACCTCCGCCTCCTATGTAGTTACAAGACCCGCCAACGGCTACTTTAAAATTACCTTTTAATATTTTGATCTAACAATTTATTATATCGTGGTTCAAGTTGGTTAATTTCATGGCAATTTATTCAAGTTGGCCAAGTGGGAGAATGGAGCATGATGGGCCACATATTCTCCAGGCAATCAAAAGAAGGGTGATTAATGATGAGATCTGACACGTGTTTCAAAAAATAAAATAGGGGGGGGGTCTGCTAGAGTGTACTCAACCATAAGATACACGTTAAAAAAAAATTCATAAAATTATAAGAATATTATTTTTCATTTATGAAAACTGAACCCCAAGTTCTGTTCAGTGCAGATGAGTTGAGGAAACCAGAAACCGCAAAACCCAAAGGTTTATGCACGTGCGATGTGAGTTTCCGCGCTGCCCTTCGCGCTTTGATGGATGATTATCTCCGGGGGCAGGTATAAAGCGGAAATTGGTAAACGAGCACATGAAGTCCCACAAACCTCAAAGGATCTCCGGACGGCGCTAAGGAAAGTGATGGGGAATAAGGGCATTTTTTGTGAATTTGTAATTATACTCGAGAGACAAACAACTTCAAAAGATGTGAAGTGGACAGCCTTGAATTCAAATATTTGTTAATACCCAATGACCTTTTTTTGGGCCTTTTTTTCAGATTTTATGACATGTTCTAGGCTCGGTATCCAAACGTCTAGACTCTAGACTTCTGTGTCTTTTTTTATTGCACAAGACTGTTTATAAAGATAAGCAAGATATCCTTCGAGATTAGAGGTCTGAGAGTTTCTAGAAAAACTAAACTTCACACAGAGCAATTGAGGTTGTCAGTGTAGTATTTATGAGACTGGGTTCTTGTAACCCTCATTAGTCAATTGTCAGCAGCCCTTGAGGGAACCGATCGCATCCCAGCACTTGACTCACTGATGGATTTACAATTTCCCAAAATGGAAACTAAATTTTGGTTTGTTGACCATGAACTCGGGATGGAACCCCTTTTTTTTTTGTTTGTTTGTCTGGGAGACTGGGGCACAAGTGTTGTTAATGTTTGGTATTCTTGGGGCCATTTCCTTCTCCATGTTTCCTCCTTAATTGTTGTTTACATTTCAAGTGAAAGCGGCAAACAACAATTTCCAATTGAAATGTAACGAAGAAGAAAACTTTTGATTATACTCCGACACATAGACATATTTTTGGGGTAAAGTGAGAAAATGAGATACTATGCCACACTCATCATCGTCATCAGCAACATCATCCTAATTGCTGGCGGCTTTGTCTTTTGAAAACTTGGCAAAACAATGAGGGAAGTTGGAAGTTGAGGCCCCTGCCTGTGGGTGGGGGGGGAGTTGCCTCAATAAATCTTTTTCCGAATGCAAATGTTGCGTCAGCTTGGCATCTTCACTTTTTTCACGTTTCTTTTTTTAAAGCCAAACTCCCCTCCTGGTCTTTTGTACTTCTGTTGCTTTTGTTGATGTTTTCCTGACTTTTTAGTTGGACGGGTCCCGGATTCCCCGGAAGTCGCTTTCTGGAGCATCCAACAGCTGCCAACTGGAACTTTCTTCTGAGATCTTCGGGATTTTGGATCTTTTTCCTATGTTAATTGCCAGCGCCTATTAATTCATCATTGAATTATTGTTTCCTGGTATCCCGTATCCCAACTCTAAAGATATTCTGTTTACGGAATCACTTTTTAGGGATTTATTTCAGCTGGCGTCTGCCTTTGCATACAAATGATCTGAAAGGGTCGCCGCTTGGTCTATTTTTGGAAGCCCCCCACCTATACTCTAATGTTGATAGATTGAAATATCTTCCGGATGGCGTTTGAGGATTAGCACACATTATGTTTATGAAATGTTCAAAAGGATTTGTCACGGCGGTGATTTATGTCAAATGGTTATGTTTTGCCTCGAATCCGCGACACGAGCTATTAGAAAAGGGGGGGCTGTCTGATCATTGACACGAGCCATTAGACCCCAAGATACATAGATATATGCGTTCTGGAGGGATTAGTGCAATGGAAACGTGAAGTGCCATTAATCTTATTAAGAGCTTGGAAAGAAAAATCGTTCCTCAAAGGTAATTTAAATTGTTTTGGTAACATTTTTCGAATTTAATGATGGGCTTTGAAATTCATTAGATGACTAAAGGATTATAGTGATTTATTTTTTATTTTGAGTTTGTTTCTAGAAACATTTCTTTAAAATACCCCCTAGGGTCGTGTAACTCTTCTCCCCCAAAAAAATCTTATTAAATTTGTACAATTCCCCAAACACTCGAATTTTGATCCTTACTTGTTTTTTTCGACAAATTTCCGAAAACACTACGTGTTGTTTTCCTTGCTGATGAAATGCGACAATTGGGAATAATCCGTGAATGTGAATCCGGAAAAACAGCGGGTGGGCATGTAGCAGACCGTGAAACGAATCCGATGTCCTTCCTGCAGGACACTTAGGTGTGTATAACACACGTACAGATTTTTTTTCTGATTTATTACGTTTTTTGTTGTTAACACTCTACCGCGACAGAGCAAAACAAAATGCACAAAAATAGATGCGGGTTTTTTAAAGATTTTTCTTTTTTTAAAACACTCACAATAGGAATAGAAAAACCTTATTCCTTGTTGGCTATTTTTTTTTTTGTTTTTGATTTTTTGCTATCTTTGTTTTCTTGTTTCTATTTTTGCGGCTTTCTTCGCGAGTCTGGTCGGTCGGCTAGTGGGTTGTGTTAAAGGACTGTGTGCGAACAGATACAAGATACAGATACAAAACGAACCGGAGCAGAGCAAAAAGCGTGCGGCGTCGGTCAGAGCGTGGCTCTAACTGATGCCGTCCTCTCTTATTGTCAGTTTCGTCCGCATATGCCGGCTCTGTTCGCTTGGCTTGCGAGAGAGAGAGAGAAATTTTAAATGTTGGTAGTACACTGGGAAAAATGTTTTTTAGAAGGAACTATTAGCAGTTGAAATGTTGGTAGTTTTAAATAATTTTGGTAGTTAGTTTGGTAATAGGTCGCCTATTAAGGCTATAAAATACCATTGACCATAGCATAGAATTTTACTAGTTTTCAGTATATATTTGAAAATTATGTTTATGAGTTAAATACTTTGTTTAAAAAATATTTAGATAATCAGTTAGATAATTTTGCTCATTTTACATAACATATACTTTAACGTGAATAAAAAATAAATTTAGGTGATGGTCTCTTATTTTTAATAACAGAATAAAATTTAATAATAAAAGAGCTTCTTTAGAATAAAGTTCGAAACCCATAAGATTCTAAAGCTTAGAATCTTAACCGGGCTTGTGTTAGTTTATACTATTTGGAATTTATATCTACTAAATAGATATTTTAAAATTAAAATATAAAAAAAAAAATTAAATTAAAATATATTCCATATTCCTATGAATTAAATACATAATATTAAAAAAAACATATTTTTGAGTTTTTTTGTTCTGTGCCCTTACATTAAATTATGAAATTCAACATCCAATTTTTTCTCCCCACTGTATACAAAATTTTAAATACTTATTATAATTTTTTCCAGTGCACGGAGAGAGCCCGCATAAGGGTGGCGCGCAGAGTAAAAGCAGCGCACTATCGCTGCACTCTCTCCAGGCATAATGTTCTCCGTTCTCCTTGTTTGGTTGTACAGTAAATGCAAAATATTCTATTACCCGATTGTGTTTTTTTGTTTTCTGCCCAACAGAACCATGGGATCTGGGGATTTGGGCTTGGGTTTTGGTTTTTATTTTGTTCTGGGTCCTGCAGGACGAGTTCTAGAACTGGTTGCCAAATGGCAAGTGTTGAAACGCAGTTTATAGCACCGAAACATCTGGCAGATGTAGGGACTTTCCAAGTCCTGATGCGTCATTACAGGACTCTAACCCTTTCCTGTATATCGTAGCCTACCTCCCACCACCCCGTATTTTTAAAAAGAGGGTTCATACAGCTCCCTACCCCTGAGAAAGGAAAGTTTTTTCGATGATTTTTCACATCAACTTTATCACAAAAGGAACAGTATTGCGAAGCAAATATGATTAACAAGGATATTCCAAAGGAAATCCGGAATTTTCAGGAATTTTCCATTGCGAGTCGAGGGATGCAAACTCTTTAAAAAAAAAGAATGGTATCTTAGAAAGACAGTGAATTCTACAGATGTTTTTTGAATGATTGGAGCAGAACCAGCAGGACGACACGTGCTGGGAATGGATTAGTGATCCTTCCTTCAGCTCTCTCCTTCCCCAACGATCGAGGGACCCCAACTACATGCCCACATGTCAACAACTTTCACGCCCAGAACTATGAGGGTTCCCTATTTAATTATGGAGCTACTGAAGCATTTCATTAGACATGATGTTAGGCGACATCTGCTCCGGAAAAGGCCACAAATGTCGAAGGGAAACTGGAATGGAAAATAAAGGTAGCATCGAGTTACGTTATATAGTTTGACGCATGCCTGTCACGTATCGGAGAAGGATCAAAAAACCGATCGGATCGCATCGGATCTCATTATCATTTTGAGGGGAAACCCGCAAAAATATGTTGAACGCATTGGGAAGTGGCACAGGAAGTGGAGAAATGAACACATGTTCCTGTCTTGTAGTCTTATATGTGTGTGGGTTGTTCAGCGAAATAATTAACAAGTTTAATTTAAATTTGAGTCATTTCGCGTGGGCGGGGTGGAACAGGAAACCAGAGAGGGGTAACCCAAAAAACGAAATCGAAGCCTTTAAGGAGTTCCTCTTGATTTTCGTGAGGAGTCTTTTTGGAGGACTAGCCCACAGAATGTAATTCAATCATTCGATGATTCGGTTACAATATGTCCGGTAAACCCCAAAAAGCCGCTTAATGTTTGAGCTCAATTATATGGCTTTTTGTGAGTGGGGTGTGGGTGTGGGTGTGCTTAGTCCTCCTCCTCCACCTCCGTCTCTAACACATAAACGCCTCAAAGTCGACTACAAATAGCGAACAAGGAAGTTGGCAGGACCCCGGAATCATAAAAATTCGTCTTGTTTTTTGTAGCCCCGTTGCAAATTATGTTCGGACATAAAAAAAGGAACTTTTTTTTTTTGCGGCCCACCACTGCAACCCACCCACTTTGTCTGCGGGCAACCGCAAAAGTTACTGTTTTATTTACTCAACTAAAGCGGAGCGAGGGCGAGGGCGAGGCCGATGCCGAGGCCGGACGAGGTTTAAGGCTGGAGGACTGTGCTCTGGGATGCGGGACATGTGGCAAACAACAGGCGCAGCAAGTGTTGAGGTGGTGTTGCGGCGCCCCTTAATGGAATCAGTCCCACTGCCGCTACAGACCCGTGCTGCCTTCCAGATAAAACATGAAACGCTTTTAAGTGTTCTTTAGACCTGAGGTTAAACACCTTAAAGGGGACTTACTGCGTCTGGAACTGTAGGACTGTAGGTGGGGGCTAAGGTATGGTCCTCCCTCCCGAGACTACAATGTTTGCAACAATTTACGTGTGGGCTGATTATATTAAATCCAAAATGCAGAACCTTCTAGGAAATTAAATATTCAGAACTTCGGCTTGACATTTCTCATCAAAACAAGAAGAAATTCCCTGAAGGGAACCTCCCTAGTTCTGTACAGAATATACCGCCATATGACTTGGACTTTCCCTTCTTAACAATTAATTAAAAAACAAGTTGTCCTCAAGACGACTCTCCAAGGGTCAATCTCCAGTCCTCAGAGCAATCAAAACACACCAGACCCGGTCATTGATACTTTTGAAATGCTGTGACAATGAGTACATCTGTATATAGACCAGAGTAGCCCACAAAGATGAACACCAAAATGCACAAATGAATGCTAAAGAATGAAAACGAATCTTTAGTAATCTTCAGTACATAATGCCCTGCCCGTGACACAAAAAGATACAAAAAGTGAAGCCTGGATCTTAGCTGGAGTGAGTGTGAGAGTCAAGTGAGTGGAATAATCACAGACAATAGAAGAACAGGGGACGCATCTCTCACTGCCACTGCCACTGCCACTGCAACTGCCTCAGTCTCAAAGTCAGTCTCAGTCTCAGAGCTACTTCTACTTGCATCTGAAGTGCGAACACAAATTGACAATCCCGGGCAGGGCCAAGCTGCAGGAGCAGTCAGAGTCTCAGAGTCGTTGCACTTTTTAAAGTGTTGCACTCGCCACAGAAACACCCAATGAGGGTCCGACGAGTGACTGAGACTTGGGCTTGGTCTCAGAGTTTCGTCTTCAATTGAGACCCGGTCCAGATTAACGTTGAAGACTGTCACTAGTACAGTGGTTTTTTCTGTACAATAGTTATTTCTAGTAATAAAATGAGATTTATAAAGTTTAAGCTTCAACTACAGAAGTTTAATAGATATAGAATACCTTGAATGGATATTTATATATATAGTTTTATTAAAAAGACTTTAAATCACTTTCAAAGCACTGTGCTGCAATCTTTAAGAGAGGAGACTGGAGGCCTGACATTGACATGCTTGCAACGAAAGGACTGAAGCCAGAAGCTGCCACCATCGGAAGCCTCAGAGGCAGAACAGCTGCCCCTCATAAAGTGCCGGGGAGCAGCAGCCCAGTTCTCAGTTCGTGCCCCGTGTGGGCGATGGCATGGAGGCTTCTGGCTGTTGTTGGGGGCCCAGCTCCCCCTCCCCCAGACTCTGGTCCACCAGCTCTATTAATATCCAACTTCCTACAATTTGGTGAATTCGTAAATTGTTTCTCAAAGGAAAGTTGACTTTAATGCGTCATAATTGATGCACAATGTAGGGGGCAGAGTGGCACGGAGATGGCTTGATTTGATTAGCTCAGAATGTAGCTCACAGATACAGGCAAGCTTACACAGATACAGATAGAAACATCCACCCACATGGAGAGAATGCGGTTGAAACTTTGACTTACTGCCAAATTATTGATTTTCATTGCAGTTGCCCAGAAAGTCGCCGAGAGTGGGCGACATTTTGTAGTAAGTATCTTCAGGCCTGTGTCTGTGTATCTGAGTATCTGTGTGGGCGGTCATTTGTCATTTGCAATCGCTTTCGAGGAAACCCTTCAAAGTTCTTTTTGCTTTATTTTCCACGTGCACTGCATCACAATTATCCGCTTAACATGCCAAAGCGGGCCAAAGAAACAATGGGCAAAGTATCTTTAAGATGCAATTCAGTTGAATTCACGCTTCCCCCTTAACCGTTTCCACCGTTCCACGTTCGAGATAATTAAGCTCTGTCGCTGGTCAATCGAAAATAAATTTTCAATTAAACGCCCATCAACGACCCGACAGCTAGATACAATTGCTTTATCTCCAAGATACGCATCTTGCATGCAACCATGGCCCAAGATGCAGCCGCTCTAATGAAGATGATGCAGCGCATTTTGTTGGCTGCACGAATCGAAATTAAGACAAAAGCCAGATGGACAAGCAACCGAAATGACCAGAAGAAGTTGAAAAGTATCTGATGGATTCATCGCCGACTCGCTGAGACAGTCGACAGCTGGCAGGGAAGGAGCGCGTGCCATTGAACTTTGCGGTCGAAAGGCGAAACAAAATCAGTTACTTTTTTGTATCTGACCGATACTTGGATACTGCA